GCTCACAATATGAAGAAAATTACAAAAGTAACAATATAAAAATAACAATATAAAATTAAAACAATATATTTCCAAAAGAGGCTTTTACTGAGCAGTCTTCTTGTCGTTTTCATGGAATTTTACAGGGGCTCCGGGCATCACCATCTTTCATTTGTTGTGCTCCCATATTTTCCTACTGCTTCTCCCATCTTGTTCTCTCCAGGGGGTGGGCAGGGGCATGAAATTAACACAGATTAGCTGCACAAGCCTTTTAATTGGTAGTGCCTGCAGCCTTGCCTCTGGGGACCACCTTTATCTTTCCTTTTTTAAATACACTTGCAATTCATACTGGAAAATATACTAGAGTATGCGTTCTAAGAACAGCAACATCAAATATGTGTTCTTCCAAGAGGGTAATTAATTACTATTTGCGCTGGCAGCACACCATTTTCATGAGTGATGACCTGGCCATAAGGTAAACCCTTCCATAAGTAAACAGTGCCAGAATTGATGAGTAAAAGTAACTATAGCACATTTATTTATTTATTTATTTATTTATTTATTTATTTATTTAAAGTTTTTATATGCTGTCCAACACTAAAGTCTCTGGACGGCTTACAAAAAACAAAAAAGCAAAGCAACCATATGCTCTTGGGAAGTTGTAGAACATTTGCATTCTGGTTTTGAAAGAGCATTGTTAGCATGTGCGATTGCTCTCCATTGTTTAAATGCTTCTGGAAAAGGGCAGCCCCAATTCCCATGTCACTAGCTTTTGCATCTAAAGTAAAGCCTCTTGTGGAAGCAATTGCCAGTTTGTGAGTGAGTTCCACTCACAAGACTGGGCACCTCTGTGCTTTAAATAGAGCAGTTTAACTATCTCTGCTACTTCCAGCTTCTGGCCACCCTGACCACCCCCAAAGTAAACCCTTATGATGCTTTCTTCCATAATGTTTCAAGGCACCAAAGAATCTTGTGTCCCAAAATTTAGTAGGATTTCACATAGTACACCCCAAGACTACCAGGCAGGTTATATCATTATCTGCCACAGCACCTGCTGCCTCTTGATTAGCAGGTTCAACTGTACTTCGACATTATTCTGTGCCCCCTCAGATGTAGTAAGCAGGCAATTTCATTTACACTTACCTGGCTTTTTGCAGCAGATCTGATCCTGGCTAGTGTATGATGACTCTTTGCAAGATCCCAATTATATTTGCTTAGGATAACACCCATGCCTTAATTGGCCTTCTTTTCTGGTTGTCTGCAGTTCCTTCCAAGCTGGGGGTGCTTGTTCTTCAGCCTGAAGCTTCCTGATCACTTGAGTCAGTTTTAATACTCATCTTTACAACTTTTGACTGTTTAATCAATTCCGGCATTTGCATCACTGAGTCGCTGAGTTGCCTGGGAATTAATTGTATGTGATGTTTCTTCCACATTTCAGCTTATTAATCCAGTTCATTCAGTGGCTAGTGCAATGGCTCCGTTGCATGCTTCTGGTGTTGCATTGAATCTGGATTTCTCCTTGGCCGGAATTAGTACTGAAATTCCCCTGTACTTGAGCATCCCAGCTAAGGTATGCTTTTGCCACCAAATTCCTAATTTGGTTTCAGACAGATTTTCTGTCTGCAAATGCTTCTCTGGTCCAGTCATCATAAGATGGTGTCCTAAAAAAAATTAGGTTTTAAGACAGTTTCTAACCTCTCCTGCATTTGATGAAACAAGCTAGTAAACACTTGTGATGCGCTTTCTTTTTGAAGCAACACCAAGAAATCCTTTCTCTCATCAGTCTACCTATGACAGCATGTGCAAAATGCCTTATTCAAGAGTGCCATTACTCTTCCACCCCTAAGAATGGTTCAGACATCAAAAGCAGCATGTCCTGTTTCCTTTCATTCCCGATGTGACTTGCTGTGTGTCATTCTCTTCACTACGGCTTTCCTCATCCATTTCTACACAATCCCACCTGTAGCACCAGTGTTGCATAGCTCTCAGGCAACTCCACCGGCTCAGCCTGGCAGGATATTTTTGAGAGAGAACAGCCATGCAGTTTAGAAATGCAACATATCTTTTATCTTTTCTGCCCCAGTGCAAGCTAGGCTTCCTTTCCTGAAACTCCAATCCCACTCCAACATGTATAAGCCTTCTTCTCAAAACCTCTCTGACCTTCTGGGCCCATCTCCCTACAGACAGCAGTCCTACTACACCCGGCTCTTAAGATAAACTAAATTAAAAACTGACTTCCTTACACAACAATTAACAGCTCAGGTGCTTATGCTGGGTGCTGCAACACTGGCACAAGCTTGCCGAAAAGACTACCCCTTTGCCTATCTGGGGAGGAAAAATATACTATTTGCTGGACTGCTGGTTCCCCAACCTGAAAAACCAGCAGAAACAGAAAATCAGAAAGTGTTACAGAAAGGTAGAATTAAATTTTAACAATGTCTACAGTTGTCATATGGAAAAGTCTGTGGCTCTGCTAACTGAAACTTTCCATATCATTCAACCCAAGATCAGAACCTAGAATGACTCAGAATATTTCCAAACAATTGTGTCCCTAGTAGCATGGGGTTATCTTCTGTGCAGGGAGGTAGTTCTACCTCTAACTGTAAATACATACTTACTCCAATAGGTTGAGGCATGCTGTCTGCAGATGAGGCTTTTCATAAAGATATTATTACAGTGAAGATAATTGCATCCATTCATAACAGAGGTGTGGGATAAATGGATTTTTAAAAAAAATGTTTGACAAAAGACTGCAGACACTATCTCATGGAAAATTAAAGACCCACAATGCTATGATTTCTCAATGTTGGAAATTACCAGAATTTGTGTATTAATAATAGCATGGCTTATGTAGAAACACTTTGTTACAACAGTAAGTTTTTATTGTCTTTTTTAGAGTGTACAAAGCCGTTGTTACCTGATAAACCTTACAGTAAACTTGCAAGGCAAGTCATTCTTATTATTTCCATATTGCAGAAATGGGGCATTGACTCACTTAGGGATATGTAGAATAGAAGTGAGCTGCTAATCCTGAGCTTCTTACAAAAATATGTAACATGTCCCTAAGATGACCCAGACAAAGAAAGAAATGTGTTAACATATAACATCTAAGAGCAGACAGTGACTGAGATAGAAAAGCAAGACTGAGAATACTTTTTCAGTGGCGTAAGAGAGAAATGAAGCAACCACTAATCATTTTTAGTAATCTCTTAAGGAGAAAAAGCTATGCATTGGTTTTCCTTTCTGTAACAATACACAATTCGGTCCTTCAGCATGCAAGACTGTGTCCTGTTTGATACTACCAATCTGACCACTTGGCACTTCCAGGAAAAAAAGTTTTTTACCACAGAGATAAACACAAATGGCGCAAATACTTCTGAAAACTATGTGGTTGGCTTTAAAACAGTGATAGCAATCTTTGTACTTTCCTGCATCATGAATATCCCTGTGCAACTTTTCAATGAATTAATGCAAACTTTGCAAAAAGTTACAGGCAGAACACAGTCTCAGGGACAATGGGACTGTTTGGATTCCTACCTCTGGGTTGGATAGTCAATCCAATCCCCCTCTCCGTTTGCTTGGATTCTCAACCCACTTCACCACAGGCACAGAAATACTTCCACAATCACAGAGAGGATATTTAGTTAGTGCTCAGGAAAGAGGGGAGGTGAAGGGAGGAGACCAGCATTGCCAAGATATGAAAGATCTTGGTGGGATCTCCTTTCCTCCCTTTGTGAAGCCCTGCAGTTACACGGGGATTTACAGGGCAGGAAGAGCACGGAAGAATGAAATTCATCTCCATCCTTCTGTCATGCATAGGGTGCCTATAATCCTCTGAGTTTGTAGAATTTGGGCATTTCCGTGTGTTTGCACCTAATAATCAAGTTACATAGTACCATGCAAACAACTACAAATGGAAGGCATTACATTAGCTTCTGTAATCCCACAGAAATATTTCCTATGCTGTAGTGTCCTAATGTAGGAAACTGTTTCATTCCATGCTTTTCAGGATTATATTTCGCATGTTGACTAAAGGCAGGGACTACAGCCTTGGCGGAAGCGCGGATACACATGAATGGTCCCAGGGTTGATCTGCAGCATCTTTAACTAAATGTACTGGACAGCAGTGGAAAGCCCCTGCCCATCAGAGTAGACCAAACTAAGCAGAACATGCAAATAGTTAGATTTCGAACAGATTGTGATTACTCAGTGATGCAGGAAAAAACACACTATGCCATAGTTTGAACATCTGGGGAGGAGGGTGGGGCAGGAAAAAATATGCTATGCCATAGTTTGAACATCTGGGGAGGAGGGGGGGTGAAAGCCACCACTGGCCATACACTCCATGGATGAAAAGTGGGAACTCTTTCTCCATTGGCATCTCAGTGAGGAAAACCTTGGGTGCTTCCAGATGGAGGGTTTTCGTGCAACCTATTAGAAGTCATTGTGCAGCCATTACAGATATATATAATCTTAATGGCATTCAGCCATAAGAAGAAAAGGCAGATGTCATAGTGGGGGAAAACAAGATGCTTGTGAGAAGAAAAAAACACACACCCCTATAAATTTATCTGAAAGAGGCAGTGTGATAAAAGCCTTATCAGGTGCACTCCTGTTATACTTTCCTATACATAAGAAGTTGCATATGAGAAACTTCTTCAACTATGTTCCCACCCCCACATGAGATTGTTAGGCCACCACAATCAGAGAATGCTATGTCAGATAGTGCTACAGCGCTTGCTTGCAGAACTGATGGATTAACACGCTGATGGCAAGCAGCATCCAGTACAAACAAGAAGCACTGCTATGAAATAAGAGTCTCTGAAATGTTTCTAGTGGCTTTCAGTTCATCAGGTCAACATTGCTCTGGATATTTTTTTGGCATGCTAAATTGTCAACAATACCAAGGAACTACAGACTTCATGCTGGTCCTTACCTTACCGTTCATAATATATTTTCACCAATACAATTGGACCCCTGATTACTTCTGCAAAGTCATATATGCTGTCCATTCCATGAACATGCCAATGAGCATCAGTAACATTGCCTTGATTGCATTAGACCGGTACATAGCAATCAAACATCCTCTGAAAGCCAGAGTAATTAGGTCTCCAGAGAAGGCAGCTATTATGTGTTTATTCTTTTGGCTCTGCTGTTTATTTTATATAATTACACTGGTCCTCGATTTTGAAAGAAAAACAGAAAAGCTTTGTTTTTACAAAACCTCTGTCAAGTATTCAGCTCATATTCCAATCAAATTCATCATTTCCTTTTTCTTACCTCTGATCATTTTGTCATTTTGCTCTATACAAGTCATCCAATGCCTGAGGAAGAAACAGAATGCAAGCCTACAGGAGAAAAAGCTGACCCATAAAGCAATCTGTTTGGTCTTGGTGAACATGGGTACCTTCATTCTATGCTTTCTGCCTTTCCATATCAGCCGGCTGGCTCAATATGCACTGGGAAGGTTTGGAACAGATTGCAAGATGCACCAAACTATTGTCAAAGCCACCCAGGAAACTTTGTTCCTGACAAATCTCAACTGCTGCTTGGATGCAATCTGCCATTATTTGGTGGCCAAGGAGTTCCAGGAAGCTGCCTCTGCTTTGCCTCCCTTTAAGACTATGCAAACTAGGTCCAACGTAACTCAAGTTCCACACCTTCAGAATGGGACATCTCACGTGCAAATTGAAAGCCTTGACTTGTGCCAGTCTTGATCCCTGAGTTGACAGCAAGTACCTTGTCTATTTACATACATGCATACTTATAGGGTGACTTTTAGGATGGCTTATGCAAGGCAGAAAACATAAAAATAAAATACAGTTTAGACAAAATAATGATATAACCATGTAGACCAAGAAAATTAACGATTCACCAGACTGAACCCTTCTGGGCCTTGCTAGCTATTCCTAGAAATATACCTTGGATCTACAACAAAAGTAGAAAGTGCTGCTGTTGACGGGGCCACTCAGCCAGCCATGTCCTCTTCCAGGATATTTCCATTCCATTTTATCATCACCCTTGTTTTCCATCCCTCTCCCAAACAGTTAATCAACATGCCATGACCACTCAGCACACTCAGTTCCCATCAAGTTGTTTAAGGGTTTCCACCACTCCTTTGTTTTGTCTTGGATTTCTGCAAAGCTTGAGGCTTCCCCAAGCCTGCTGAAACCTCACTATTGGGCATGGATGCTGCTGCTTTGAACATATAAGTGTAGATAGTCAGAGAATGGACTTGCTATAATGTCACTGAGTGTATAAATATGCAGATTCTTCAACATTTGTGAAGAATGAACCACTTAGTAAGTTTCATAATCTGTAACTGCAGCATGTTAAATTTCATATACAAAAAATGTATTGATTGGGGCCATGTTGAGCCATAGGCTTTTTGAAGCCTGCCTCATGACTGATAGAGATCACATATCATTTATTTGTATTATTCCTGTACCACTGGCACTCTCTCACCTGAGCACATCATGTACTTCAGCCTCAGCCATTTCATCAGCATTTCACTCAGAATGCATTTAGTTAGTGAGGAGAATATGATAGTCAGAAACTGAACTCTTGAAGGTGTATCAAATTAAGTATGAGGGCAAATCTGTTCTACTCCTAGAGCCTGAGTTCTCCCATTAAGGTCCCATGGGATATTCAGGGTGGCACTTCTTCACACATGAAATGGTGATCATCACCAACTCTAATGGTTTTAAAGCAGAATTGGACAAATTCATGGAGAGAAGAGATACAAATGATCATAATCATAATGATGCTTCACAGAGAGCTTTTCTGAGGAACAGCACTGGGAAAGAGCTGTCGCCTCCATGTCCTACTAGTGGGCTTCCCTTAGACATCTGGGTAGCCACTGTGGAAAGCAGGATGCTAGACACAAAGGCATTTCATCTGATACTGCAGGACTCTTCCTACACACTTAAAGTTTAAAACTCCCACTGAAGTCAACAGAGGGCCCCTAATGATCAGCTTCTACCTTTTCCAGCAATGTCTTGAGAGCCATGACATGGACGGACAGAGCCTATGCTCCAAGGAGCCTGAGTCACTCAAGGCATGCTACTTTGGGTCTGAGGATACGTTGGAAGACTATTACCACCCATGCCAGTGATGATTCTGGTTTATTAAATACACTGGATGGATGTGTATGGATATGGATGCACATTATTAATAGATGCATAAATAAAAGCTTCTATTCCCCTATTCTGCGGCTTATTGGTGTCTTGAATAGGCAGGAGGATGCTCTGTGGGCCTGCAAGGGTACCTGGGCAAGCACCCCATCAATACCTCCCCACAGGCTGAGAATGTAAGGCAATGCCTCTTGCTCTGGATTTTATAACATTCCACCATCAGGGGAACAACACTATTTTTCCCCAAGCAGCTTCATTCTCACTGCAAAGGCAGGGCTTATCTGCAGAGTGACTGCAGAAGGCAGTTTAATTCTGATGATCTTAACAAACTGAAAGTTATGGCCTGCTTTCAAGAAAGTATTTGGACACTGAGAAAGTTCGCTATACTACCTGTTGAACCTTAATAACCTCCTCATCATTCTTTCAGTAGATCCTGAACCACAGGATTCCAATGAATTCTGTAGCAAATAAAAACAGACCACTGCCAGTTGCATGTAATCCCCATGCTTCCAAGACAGTAAAATGCAGTGCATGGGATGCAGGACTACGTTCTCTTGTATATACATTTTTGGAAAAAGAGCACCCAAAATTGGCATCTGCACTGTAGTATTCCCCCCCCCCCCACTGCTTAGTTTGCTACTAGTGTCAAACCTGGTCTTCCTCTTTGATGCAACACAAAATGTAATCAGTCTTATAACAGGAAAGAAATGTCTATCTGCTACTACGGAAGGTAGCTAGTCACAACCACACTATAGTGAAGTATTATGTAAACTTTCAGAAAAATTAGAATTTTTTTTCACAGGAGCATTAAATACTGAAAAAGGAAGGGTTGGAGTTCTGAATTCTGGGTTTCATTAAGCTGAAGAAGGTCTTTGAAATGTTGGTTGAAAGATTTTCTTTCAAGAATTCCTTGATAACTTTGAAGACAAGAAACTAGATAAAAGTAATGGTTACAGCTTCCATCTCCATTCTTGTTCCAGGTTCACAATATCTATGCTTATAGCTAGTTTGCTGATGTCAGTGGTTATAACTAATACATTCAGCATCATTCCACCTTTAGTTCCAGAGCAGATTTCCCACCTGTTCACACAATTTTGTTTGTTTGTTTGCTTTATATATGTCCTTCTTGGCATAAAGTTCTCTGAGGGACCTAAACAAGCAAGTACAAAACAATTTCAATACAAAACAAAATGCAAGTGCATAACTTTAAACTCATCATAACATACATAAACCAAACAAGTAGCACAGCATTCCAACACCAAACAGGGATTTTAAAAAATCTAAAACCCAGACAACAGTACAAAGTCCTGGGTGAAGAGACCACCAAGATGGCACCAGGCAAGCCTCCTCTGGAAGGCCCTTCCATAACTGGAGTGCCAGACCTTGTCAGATGTTATCTCCCTGGTAGTTGCACACAGAACTCAGCAGAGGGATTCACAGTGGGGCTTTAGGTTTAGCCTATGAGAGACAGTCGTTTGCCAGTAACCTGACCCCAAGCCTTAAAAGTTAAAACCAAACTTTAAGCTGGCTTCAGCTTACTCTTCCTTCCCATACAAAATGCTCAAAGGAGATAACAATAAAATAAATAAAATTAAAAGGAACCAACAGCACAATCCAATGTGGCTGCCTGTAACTCCAGTTTGGATAATTACAGGAAAACTATGGTGTTTCATTAACTAGTGTAAGATGTTATTCCTTTGGTGTCCCAAGGCCTATTTTATTCAGTATAGTTGGGCATATCCGATAATAAACCTGATTTTAAGTGCTGTCCTGCTGTGAGCCTCCACATTATTGGCAACGAGAACTTCCCCAGATTTGCAGAGATGACCAAGTCACTGCATCCCTTCCTGAAGTCATGCACTTTGATGGTTCTTGAAGTCATATGATGGAAACCAAGAAGTAGTGCCAATGAGCTCTGAGTCTTTGCCTTTCCCCTTTCCCCTCATGGCCACAATCAGTTTTCTAATCTCTTAACATCAGCACCATCTGTAAGGGTGGCATGTAGTGGACAGAGGTTCAGTGCTGTCTCTGATCTCAGACAATGTCAAGGATCCATAAGTTTGTTCCTTTATTCATAATATGTTCTGGGACTGTAATTTTCCACCACCACTTGCTGTCCCTAGAATCAATGTCCCTGATTATTCTGCTGAATAGTCTATCACTTTCCTCTCATGGTGACAGAATTGTGACCTGGGCCAGGACTTTCTAGATGTTTTGGCTCTAGCAAAGTGCATACTTCCATCCCATGTTCTAGTCTTCAGCAAACCATTTCTCAAATGCATTTGCATTTCTGAACAAGGGTGTGCAAGAGGAAGCTCTTAGTCATCTGATAGTTGACTATGCTGTATTTTTCTGTGAGATAACTGCACTTTCCCACAGTTTTAAAAATACTGTTAATTCCAAATACCTTGGTGATACCAAGGTGTTACTGTGAAGTTTCCTGCTAAACCAACGGGAGGACTGAAGGGGAAGGAAGTGGGGGACCGCCCATGGTAGCCTGCGACTCTACCAGCTCATGCTGCATAGCTTTTTGTGCAGGATGGGCTGTTATGTCATGGAAATATGACCTCTCAGTCATCACAGGATTATGTTTCTTCAGATCCCCCAAGCTTGCTGATAAAAGTCTCTTGAGTGTGGATGGCTTCATTTTGGCTTTAGAAAGACCATCTCTTGGAGAACTGGCATCAGCATTAGTACATGTGATACTTTTAATGCAGGAAAAGCTAGCTGGTAAGCTTTCAAGAAGAAAATACGGTGAGGATAAGATGTTGAAAGGAGCAGGCTGAGCAATCAAGGTCATCGCAAAGACTACAAACCAAAGAGGAAGCCTAACAGAAGGACCCCAACCCTATAGCAGTCAAGTACTTCAAACTGTGTATGGTAAGTTGTGTTTTCTGATAATCTCCAGGTGCCTCCAGACATGGCTTTTATGATGTAATAACCCTGATTTTACCGAGTCCTACAGCATCATTTTGAATATGTAACTTTTCTGTTATTCCTATCACTTTTTCTTTTCCACAATAAAATAAAATAATAAAACTGTTAAGGAGAAAATGATGGAGAAACAGCACACTGCCTTCTGGGAGCCATCTCCCAAGAAGCATGGATACTTCCAAAGGGGGTTTTACAATGCCAGACAGTATAACTGCACTCTGCCTTCTGTTTGGTAGCACTAGGAGCCCTCCATGTGACAGAACCATGCACATCCAATGCCATTTAATCTGACACTTTGCCTGTGCTGCAGCCGATTGTCACCTAGAACTAAAAAGGATTTGGTTCCAGGGCTCATACATGCCAGATTAGAAGCAAAGCCTGAGTTTACATAGCAGTGTATTGTAGCCTGCCAAAAAAAAAAAACCTGGTCCACAGGCTTTTTGACAAGCTACAATCTACTACTCTCTAAACACAGGCTTTGTTTGTAATCTGGCAGTTGTTAAAAATATACCATTGTGATCTCCAGATACAAATAATATGAAAATCTAACTTGTAACCAAATTGTGCTTGTCTTCTACTCCTTAAAATTTGCTTTTCAATTCCATAATGAAATGCTTTTCTGTATCTATAACATGGTACTTTCAGTAATGTATTTATTACATTTATATGTAAATAGTACTCAAACCAGTTGGCAAAAATATAATAGAGAAAAACACAAAATTATCATTCAAAGATAAAAGACAAATCAGTTGAAAACACTATTGCAAGCACTCTGCTATCTCAGGCATAATTTACCCATGACACTAATGGCACGGCTACAACTGTGGAGAAAGTGGATCACAGCTGCAAGTATGCATAAGGTTTCGTATTCAGGCTGATCATTTATTTATTTGTTCTATTTCTATACCACTAAATATTGAGAAAAATGCCTAAGCGGTTTCCATGTAAATATTAAAATCACATTTAAAATAGAATTTTAAAAACAATGCAATAATAATAATTCATGATAATACAAAGCAGTAAAGAAACAGTAAATTGTAGATAATTTAATTACTGGCCAGGAAAAGCCTTGGTGAACAGGTGCATTTTCAGGAGGCATTTGAAGGATAGCAAATTTTCTGCCTCCCGAACTACACAAGAGAGGTGTTTCCACACAGTGGCATCACTAACAAGAAGGACTACCACTGAGGTTGGAATGACCAGCAAGACCTCCTCTGATGATATATCTGGGTATACATAAAGGAAGGCAGTCTGCTAAATATCCTGGTCCCTGGTTGTTTTGGGCTTTGTATGACAATAACATAACCTTGAACTGACTTGGTAGCTAACAGAAACCAGTGCAATTCTTTTAGCACAGGGTTTAGGTGAGAATGGTGGAGTGTCCCAGTAAGCACCCAAGCTGCTACATTTGGCACTACCTATAGCTTTTAAGACAGGCCCAGTCATGGAAAACACAGGGTGCACTATGGATTTAGTGCACTAGCAGTAGTCTAGTTCATGGATTGCCATGATTAGATCGCTTATCCAGGAATGGGTGTAGATAGAATACCAAACCCGCTAATGGATGTCCCAGGTCACTGAGGTCACCTGATCCTTTAGTGACAAAGTTGGATCCTGGCTCACCCTCAAACTACATATCCTTTCTTCAGAGGGAGTGCCATCCCATCCAGAACAGGTAAACAGCCCAGTTCCCATATCAGGGAACTGCCAACCCATAGGGCTTCTATCCTATTGGGTTTTAGCTTCAGTTTATTAGCTCTCATCCAAGCCATAACCACATCCAGGAATGAGTTCAGAATGTGCATAGCCTCTCTCAGTTCAGATCCCACAAAGAATTAGAGCTGGGTATCATCAGCATATTGATGGCCTCTTGTCCCAAAACTCCTGATGACCATTCCCAATGGCTTCATTGAAGTATTCAATAAGATTGGGAACAAGACAGAACCCTGTGGCATCCAACATTCAGCTGGTATGGGACTGAGGTGCAATTACCTATGGTATTCTCTGGAACCAACCCCACAAGTATGACCTGAACCACTATAAAAAAGTGCCTTCTCTCCCACCACATGGAAGCAGTTTAGGAGCATACTGTGGTCAATGCTATCAAAGCTGAGAAGAAGCAGCGGAGCCACACTCCCCCATTCCTCATGCCAATCATAGATCTTGCCTACAATTTATAACAGGTCCCCAAAAGGGGAATTGAATGTTTTTATAACTGAATGGGAACACATGGCATCAATTCATAAAATTTTGTAGAAGCCTTAGGCAACCCCTGCATTGCAGCCTCAGCCCTTTCATCTGCTATACAGGGATACTGATATTGACTTACATTTACAGGGATGTTGTACACTTTATTAACATGATATATATGCAGTACTTTGAACACTCTAAAATTGTCCATAAGTGCTAAATGTAATTGTTCTATAACTTCACAGAAATAGCCATTATATATTTCTTTTACAGCAACATTGCAGTAATGGTCCAAAACATGAACCATGAAGAGACCTGCAGCACCATCACCAATAATACCATAGATTTAACTCAAGCAATTATTTATGTACCTGTTTTCTTTACTGGACTCATCCTAAATGCATTGGCCTTAAGGGTATTCTGCTGCAAACTAAACAAATGGACTGAAACCAGAATATATATGACCAATTTAGCTATTGCAGACTGCTTCTTCATCTTCACTTTGCCTTTCATGTTAATTTATAAGTCAGGAAGTGTGGATACAGTATGTTTAGTCTTGGAATCTTCATACTTTATTAATCGGTACATGAGCATCTTCCTTATCACCATCACGGCAATTGATCGATACATTGCCATAACATATCCCCTCAAAGCAAAGAATGTAAGATCTCCTGTGAAGTCAGCTATTGTCTGTGGACTTCTTTGGATTTTAATAATAACTATTCTATGTGCAACTAAAATGGTGGACCAACGAGAGACAGGAAGCATTTGCTTTAAAAAGGTTTCCAGAGCACCATCATGGAATATTTTTGCAGCTGTCATTTGGGGATTTTTAATACCTTTAACCTTCTTGAGCTTCTGTTCCATTCAAACTGTAAAAAAACTCAGGAGAAAGAAAAACATCCAGCCACATGAAGAAAAGCTAATTCAGAAAGCAATCAACATAATTATTGCAAATATGGCTGTGTTCATCATATGTTTTTTACCCATTCATCTTGCATACTTAATTCGGTTCATAGCCGATGCCAAACAAGTCAGCTGTACTACAACAGAAAAAATTGACATCTTTGTAAACCTTGCAGGAATTCTCGCCAACACCAACTGCTGCCTTGATGTCATTTGCTATTATTTTGTAAACAAGGAATTTCAGGAGGCTTCCATGGAACTAACAACTAAATATGTATCACATAAAAATCAAAGCTCCGCAAATGAAGTTTCTGAAATTATTTAGTACAGCAGTGCATGAGAACTACTCTTCAACCACTGTTTTTCTTTCTCTCTCCTAAAGTGATGGGACAATTTCCCTACAATGCTGCCTCTATAGCTCTTTGCTCTTTGTTCCTGGCTTAGTACCATCAACCGACTTTAATGGTAACCTGGTTACATTACAAGCCTAATAAAATACAAGACTCAGTGTTCATTCTAAGCAACTTGCCTTACTGGTTAAGACCATCTAGCTCCTTTCCCCCACATGGCTGCCTCTGGAAGTTCACCCTGCTGCTTTTGATTACATTGGCTAGTTGCTTCTCATGTTACTGAACTTTAGCAGCTGCTTTTGGGATAACATGGACAGACTTTTTATCTGTCTCTGACCTGATTCTGTTGCTGGGTTGCTGTTTATAGTACTTGACTGATGCCTGGGCTTCTCTTCTCTTCTCTGCTGACAGATGGCTTACTTGTGATCCCTGAAACTTGACCCATTGGACTTGGCTCTTGGTAGAACTTCAGTACAGATTACCAGCTTACCAGCTTGTAATGTTCCTATCACATTTTTGCTTGATTATCTTGTACTCATGAAAATGTGGTGTATATATTTCTGAGCCTTGAATTTTAGTGATAAAGCTCGTGGTACTTAATGTGGCTTTCACATTTGGTAAATTGGTAATCTCTGTTGGCATTCCATTGCAAGTAAGATATGAGTGAAAATGGTATTTCCCAGAAGCTCACAGGTAGAGTCGCCCTTCAAAGCAGTTTATCTTCTTTGCTTTTCCTCCCTAATTTTCAGATTTTCACTTTAAGATTTCAAGTTTATATTCCAAACCTTTTAACACATTTTGAATTTTTAAATAATTTTTTGCAGTTTTGAGAAGTAGGTATGCCTTTTGATATATAAATAAAACTCACAATCTACTTTTTGATTATTTGGATCACTGGCTGTTTATTGCAGGAAATCACTGGGCAGAAACTGAAAGTTTCAGGGTGAAAATTTGTTCCAATCCCAAGCTAAATTTAATAACAGCATGGTCACTCTGCTAGAGCATGTAAGATTTGTTTACAGCAAAAACTGTAGTTGCACCTCTGAAGTTTACTATTCATATATGCATAATGTGGCTGAGTCAGTTGTTTCTGTCTATATATGATGAATCTTGACTTTTAATGGGAGGCAAATTATACAGCAGAAATGGCTTTATAGGCTTAAGGCAACTGTGCCTGACCTCAAAAGTTCTCAGCAAGCGTACTTTCAGCTGACTGGGGGCAAAAAATGGCTCCCCCATAACTGGGAGCACTTTTTACTGACTATCTTTGTTTTTTGAGGGGCCAGCAAAATCCATCTCTCCTTGTGCAAGGGAGCTTTCCCTTAGTAGCTGCAGGAGTGCTTTCATTCTAACTGTACTATCCTGCTGCCATAAACAGTGATGACAGCAACAGAGCTCCCCTCTTGGTAGCCTGTCAACCAGTTGTTGGAATGCCTTGGATAGTCCCTTTTCCACAGCACTGTGGGAAAAATTCTGGCCACTCCTTCTGCCAGAAAATTGTCTCCCACTGGCAAGCACAATTTCTCCCTCCTTCTCAACAATGAGCCAGACCGTGGCTGTATCCAGGCATTCTGAGGAAAACAATGACAGTTCAACAGTGCCTTGCCAAAGAAGAGCTTTGCTTTTGCTGCTACCGCCTCTGATGGAAGCAAAATGCTAGAAATTAAAAGTTAAAGTTTGCTGTTATTGCTCAAGGATTCCTCTCACCACCACACCCCCCACACACAAATATAATGGCAATGAATTGCCACCTCCCTGAAAAATTGGCAAGATGTGGGTCATTAAAGACCAGTCCTAAAAGCAATGGAATCTGTATTTTGAAAGGCAGATAAAGCAAACCATACAAGTCACATCTTGTAGTGGCTTCATAGCCCAATGAAATACCCCACAGAAAGCCTGCTGGGTTGGGACATGGTTGCCATGGCTTAGTGTGCCATGCAAACCCAGTTATAATGTTGATCATTTAATCATTCACATAGTCTTTCCAGTCAATCACTCAGTGAGCTAAGCACCATTTTGGAAAGATAGGAAACTGCCTATAGTTCAAATTGGACTATTGGCCCATTTAACATTGGGGTGGGGAACTCTTTAGTTCCTGGATTTCCTCCACTCACAAAGTCATATCACAGGTCAGATGCCATCAGGAGCAGGATCCACCTGGGCTTCATGTGATTGGCTGTGTATCCATTAATTTTGTTATTAAATAATTTTATGGAACAAATTATATGTATGACTAGAAACAGAACAGTTCTGAAGAAAAATATTGTCTTGCACTATTCTCCCATTCAGATGATGAGTGGATTTTTCCTTCAGTAAATTGTTGTTTGGCCTGAGTTGTTAAAAGGTAGGGTTACCTTGAAATGGAAGCACAGTCCTGAAAATAGAATTCTAAATTTCCCACACGATGTTATTAAAAATTGGGTTTATTTTGAGTGAAAAAGAAAACTTTTAGTAGCATGTATATTTTAGAGATGCCATCAAGTTGGGATTTGTGGGGAGAAGTCTCAAAGCAGAATGAACAAGAGTGCCCCAAAGGCATTAGGGCTGGCCTCTAAGTACTTGGAAAGGAAGTATTGCATTAAGAACATTAACCCTGAAATTTTTTAACTGCATCCACTGTGCTGTAAACACAAAAAGAGTAGAGAATGACTCCTTAGTCTTCACAGGGGAAACATTAGCAGCATCTAGAAAAATACAGAACACAAAAGACACTATTTGTAAGTAAGTGCATGTGTTAAGGTGCATTTTAGCAAGTAGATGATCTGTAAAATAAGCACACCAGCCCTAATCTTGAGTATCTCATTGGAAAACTGCAATTTGGTTGGAGCCTTACTTTTTACATTTCTGAATAACTGTTAAACCAACATCTTCAGAGAGAAGACAGGACCACCACTGTTGACAAACAGAAGTATTTGATATGTGCAACCATAATGATGTAAAGTTATGAAGCACATGATTCATTTTATAAATTAGAGCAAAGGCCACATGAAATATGGCCCACTGAAGTATATATTGGTTCTTAGATTTTGATTTCTCTGTTTACATAAGACCTGCTCCAGGTTCCATTTATAAATAAATGCATTAGGAACCTGAAAAGTTGTATTTTCTTTTATCTTTAGCTACCAACATCTGTCTATATTTGGACACACCCAAGCTGCAAAAGAGGGACTTTTTTATAATTCTCACAGTTGGGCACTTTGGTCTGGCTGCTTCCCTCTAGAAAGAGGAAATACAATACATATGCGGCTGATTGTTTCACATCTACCTCTTTTCCCACGAAGGCTTTACACAGTAATGAATCATGAAAAGTGCACTGCTCTGCAAGCAAGGGGAAATAAAAAACCAAAACCCATCAGAAGCTTCACCAAGTTTAGATCCATTTCCTAGATCCTTAAACTTGTGTCCATGCAACACTTATTCTAAAAAGTATCCAAATATATTTATTGGAAGCTTTTTTATATAAACTGCCCTGGCCATTATGCAAACTAAACTGGCCATTTTGTTAAACTTGAAGTGGTTGATACCCACAGAACAATATAACACTGAAGATGCTAATCTAACAATTATTCCAGAAATGTAATACAGTAAGACTTGTTTGTTTGCCTGTTAAAATGTACATTTAATAGATTAGATGTACTTGAATTAGATCTTATGTGGAAAAAAATAACATTTATTTTTCTCTTCTTTCTGTCAAGCTTAATTTTCAATTGTCCTAAGAACAAGATTGTTGCTCTAGATATTGTGGATGATATTCTGGATTATATAATTTGACTTCATGAGTGACTGGCTTTTGCATGTAGCATTAAAATGTATCCGTATGGAAAATGTCCTGTTCATCTCCTTTAAAATCCTCACATCTCAAAGAGGCAATTAAGCCTTCATTAAAATGTAAGCAGCACCCTTGGTTCTAGTTGTGAGAAACTTTCCTCAGTATGAGAATCAGAAATTTGGACAGCACAACAAATAATTTCCAATTTGGACAGCACAACAAATAATTGTGATGCTGAGAAGCCACAGAACAGAATATTGTTTGTATTTGTTGTTTATCAAACTCCAACGTACCATGCATAAATACCATGACAGGGTTCAGACAACATAACAGACCAAAAAAAGGTAAATTAAAAAGCAAACACGTGCACACACACACAGTTGCTTGAGCTGTTGAGTGAACTCCATGAACTCCATGACAAGTGGGACTATCCCAATGTTGACCAAACGGTCCGTGTCCTGGTGTGCATATGCCCAAAATACACAACAGGGGAAGGTTTTCTTTTAAAAGATTTATTCTCAAGAATAACCAGCTGCCAACAAATCCTTCCAGATGGAGCATTTGAGCAATCCAGTTTGCCCTTTCATACATTGATCATTGGAGGGTTACACATAACACAGTTAGCACTTTCTAATAGTGTAAAAAGTTACAATAGCATGATTTTCCATTCCTGCATAGAAAAGAAGATGCTCTGAAGGAGAGGGGGAGCATGGGGTGCTATTACATAGGGAAAAAAAGAGGATGGGGTGGGTTGGTGTGAATTGCCATTTGTCTGAGCTGCTATTATCTATCAAGTGCCAACTAGCTTTCTCTGGAAAGGTGCCTGGATAGCACCAGTTACATTTCAAGGATGCACACAGGTTGATTGCTAGGAAAGAGGATTTTTTTCTGGCCTAGCTATATGTCAGTAATTGCATGATTTTACCTATGAAGACTTATACCTATTGATTTGTACATCACCAACAAGTCATCAGTCCAACACACACAGCAAGGAAAACACTAGATATTTTTGTAGCTGGACAAGGGGATAATGATCTGAAGGTGGTAGACTCTGAATTGTTCTCTTTATCTATGGTCAGATCACTAATGGCAACTTTTCTCCATGACAGGGAAGGGAAACCCATTAGGGCAGTCCATTCCTGGAGGTTGATGGATATGGATCATTTCCAGAAGGCTCTGGATAACTTGCAAACAGATATGGCTGGTTGTCATGTTGAAACCTGGTAAAATACAAAACTGTCAATTATTACTTTTTTATTAAAAAAGGAATACATAAAGAGGAAATTAATATGTTTATCTCCTTCTCTGTATGACCCTCAACAAGCTTTCCTACACAAGTCATTTATTCCTTAGCCAAACCTACTTATTATTTTGATTTATATCCTGCCTTTTTCCTACGAAGGGCTCAAGGCAGCTTACATCTCCTCCTCCATCTTATCCCCACAACAACAACCCTGTGGGGTAGGTTGGGCTGAGAGTCTGTGACTGGCCCAAAGTCACCCAGTTGGCTCCATGGCTGAGCAGGGACTAGAACCCAGATTGCCTGAGTCCCAGTCCCAGGCTCTTAACCACTACACCACTTCCCAGGATCCATGTGAGGATAAAATGTAAAGGATTCTGAAAGACACCTTGGAGGAGAAAAGCTGATATATAAAAACAGTAACTAAATGAATAAAATGTGCATATATAAGCCCTAGCAGCATGAAGAGTTTTAGCGCTCAAAGAAAACTTGAAATGTACACCGATGGCCCAGTAATTCAAAAGTACCACACACGAAGAAATCTCATTTCAACTACGTCGCTTTCAGTTTTAATATGGCTGTAGAAGAGCCTTTCCCCACCCAAGGCAATGCCCCAACCTGGCCCACAAGAACCCCACGGCCACCCCTCGCCACCACCGCCACACGCGCCACATCACGCCCCACACATCCCATATGAAGAAGGAACGTGTTAACCAATAAGCATGCAGCAGCGGAACAGCCGCCAATCGCGTGCTCAGCAAGGCTGGGGCGCGCGAAGCGGACAGTTGCCCCAACGGTCGGCAGTTGACGCCATTTTCAGACGGCGCAGGGCACCGAACGTGCGAACAGTGACCGTGAATCTCGTTTTCTCCGCGAGGCACCATGGTGGGGAGCGGGGGCTTCTGTGGCTGGGGACTCTGAGAAGCAAGAGGGAGGAGAGGGTGCGTGGCGGTTCCAGAAGCCTTTCGGCTCGGTGCCGTCATGGAAGAGTGCTGTGAGGGAGTCGGGAGGCTTGAGGAGGGGAGTCCTCGGGAGTCCTGAGGAGCCGTGAGTAGGAGGATGGAAGGCAAGGCAGGGCAGGGCAGGGCGGCAGCACTGAAGCGCGCTGCCGAGGGCCGAACGCTGGCCGCGTGCGCGAACACGCCTCGCCTCGCGCTCGGGGAGCAAGAGGTTCTGCGGGCAGCCAATGGAGAGCTGCGCCTCGCGTCGGGAAGGCGCGAAGCGGCCTGGCGTGGCGGTTGCTCTCGTGTCGTTGGCGCCCTTGCGCGTCTGGCGGCCGAGGCTGGACGTCGCGCCGCCTCACAGTCGTAATATTAGGAGCGCGGGGAAACATGGGGGCGGTGATTTTGAGGACAGGCGCGAGAGCGGTTGCTCTCCTGCTTTCCTAGAATTAGGGTATAGGCGGGCAGGGGTAGGCCATGTAGAAATCCGTACGTTACAGTAAATAAGAAGGAATCATGGAAATACATCGCAGAGAGGGATGAAAAGTGAGTCATCATTAAACATTTGGGCAGGTATTAAATGTTAGTGACAAAAGGAGTAAGAGTTTCGGTAGTAAGAAAATGGAACACAAATATGTGCCCCCTCTTCGGGGAATGTTGCTGAAAGTCCTTTAAGGATCCCACGTTTTTTTACTTGGACTGAGGGAGGGAAACGGCCCAAGCATCCGAAGTTTTTTAAAAAACCTGAAAGCTAATTTTGCATTATCCAATACGTATTTGGCTAAGTAGGATGCGTTTTCACGGTGCTACAGCGTTCCAGAAGTAATCTAGGTAGTTGTTTTTTTCCCCTTTCCCTTAACAGCGTGAATGTATCTCTATCCACGTTGGACAGGCTGGAGTTCAGATTGGTAATGCTTGTTGGGAACTGTACTGTCTCGAACATGGAATACAACCTGATGGTCAGATGCCCAGTGACAAAACCATAGGAGGGGGCGATGATTCCTTTAACACTTTCTTTAGTGAAACAGGAGCTGGCAAACATGTGCCTAGGGCTGTCTTTGTGGACCTTGAGCCAACTGTGGTTGGTATGTATATGAATTTTAAGACATTTTCTGTTTTGTGATAAACATTTTGAACAGTCATTTATCAATTAATTGACACAGCTAGAATGTAACTTATTTCTAATTTCCAATATTTACGTTTTGTGTAGCCCATTTTATTAACTTGCTATTGGGTTTCATTTATTACTTTTCTATACAAATTGTCAAAGCTAAATGGACTGTAAAGATTAAAGAACTTAAAAAGTAAAGTGTTACACATAATATAAAATAATTTAGCTACATAGACAGGGCAGTCACAAATACATTGTACCTTAACTGATTTGGCTGTCAGGTTGTCTGCATCTCATTATTTAGAATTAAGAATTAAGCCTGAGTACATGTAGACAAAGGTCTGACTGTTCCTTTTCTATGGCATTGTGTCCTAAGTATATGTTTTACACCTAATAAATATGCAGCCTAATCTAATACATGAGCTCAATGTGATTCATTTCCAAGTAAGCAAGATTGCACTCTTAAGATGATATTGAAGTAAACTTAATTGGGTTTTTGTTGTTGGATGTATTAAACCAATGTCTAAAGTTTGCAAGTCCAGGTAGGGCTGGAATTCCTGCAAGAATATTGAAATCCTAGAGAAATATTTCCAGTCAGTGTCAGTAATACTAGGTTAAATGGTCCTGTTTTCTTACTCCATAAAAGGCAGCCTCCAGTTTCAGGAGCAGACCTAAGTTTACTCTAAGAATCCCGAGGGGAAAAAAAGCTTTTTCTGTTTTTTTTTCTGTTACAAACAAGATTATCTTATATATGGCAAAATCACAAACTTAGTCTAAAGATACTTAAATAAAACAAATCCAGAAATATTTCATTGCTCATCTTGGCTGAAGGACCCTAAGTTTTATTAGTGACACATACTATATCTAAATTGAAATGTATTTATGTGCAATAGTTTTCCTTCATATTCCATAATATTCAGTTAATATCAAAGCCACTTTATTTGGACCACATAGCAATTTGAAGCAACAGTTTTAGACTTGTCATTGGTAGATGAAAGTATCTTTTTCAGCAAAGCTTATTAATGTTATGTGAAATGTTTGGACTGTTTATTGATGTACTATTGTAATTACTATATTGGTATGCTTTCTTGTTCTTCTCTTGCTGTTGTGTTTTCTTGGTGCTTAGGCATTTCATGGCCATAAATCATTCTCGTACGAATTTTCAGGCCAAATTACAGAGGGACGGAAAACAGAGACCAGAATAGAAACATTTAACTAGAGGAGGTTTTTATTTGTTATTTTGTAGATGAAGTACGTACAGGCACTTATAGACAGTTATTTCATCCTGAGCAACTCATAACTGGGAAAGAAGATGCAGCTAACAATTACGCTAGAGGACATTATACCATAGGAAAAGAGATTGTTGATCTAGTACTAGATCGCATTCGCAAGTTGGTGAGTTTTAAGATTAGTATTATGTAACTGCAGATAAGTAGCTTTGATGTTTGAATTTTTGAAATTGTTCATTAAGAAATTGTGATGGTTCAATTAAAGTAGATCATAGGAGTTGCTACTAAGTAGACTTTAGTCAGATTTTCCTTCATATCTTCTCCCCATGACCAGAGAGGTATGGATACGTGAGTGACAGATACAATGAAATTAGCAAGTCCTAGAGACAGACATGGTTTCTAAACATATTTTTAAAATTTCTAGTAAAGTACACTAGGGGCCAGTGTCTATTTTTTTACCTAGAAATAAGTAAAGGATTCTGTAACCTGTTGTATCTGAAACTGAAAGGAAAATATGTTTAACATTGTCTGAAATATAAATAATAATTATATGATTTTGTATGTTTAGGTGTATATATAATTGCAATAGTTAATAATTGTAATTTACTGGATCTGTTTTTTTTCCCTCCAGGCTGATCTGTGCACAGGTCTCCAGGGTTTTCTCATTTTTCATAGTTTCGGTGGAGGCACTGGCTCTGGGTTTGCATCTCTGCTCATGGAAAGACTTTCAGTTGACTATGGCAAAAAGTCCAAATTGGAATTTGCAATTTACCCAGCTCCACAAGTATCTACTGCTGTAGTGGAGCCTTATAATTCTATCCTTACTACACACACAACACTGGAACATTCTGACTGTGCATTCATGGTAGATAATGAAGCTATTTATGATATATGTCGACGCAATCTTGACATTGAACGGCCTACTTACACCAATCTAAATCGTCTCATTGGTCAGATTGTTTCATCCATCACAGCTTCACTCCGTTTTGATGGTGCTTTGAATGTAGATCTGACAGAATTTCAGACAAATCTTGTCCCATATCCACGAATCCATTTCCCTCTTGCAACATATGCACCTGTCATCTCAGCTGAAAAGGCATACCATGAGCAGTTGTCTGTAGCTGAAATTACTAATGCCTGTTTTGAACCAGCCAATCAAATGGTAAAGTGTGACCCTCGCCACGGTAAATACATGGCCTGCTGTATGCTGTATAGAGGTGATGTGGTCCCAAAAGATGTTAATGCGGCTATTGCTACCATCAAGACAAAGCGTACCATTCAGTTTGTGGATTGGTGTCCAACTGGATTCAAGGTACTTTAAAATATGTTCTGTGTGTTTTATACAAGTTGTTAACTTTATGAGGCTACCAATTATTCTTAACTGGAAGTAAGCCCTATTGAACTCAGTGGAACTTAGGTCTGAGTTAGATATGTATAGGACTTTGCTGTAACTGTTTTTCATTATTCACATGCTTTCCACATACTCATTTTTAAGCCTGTTGTAAATATGTGCAGGCTAAGGAAGAATGAGTAGTTGTTTTCATATTTTGTTACATACATTTTTATAGACCACACTAAATTTAAAAGTGAGGTTACTGGAACCAGTTTTGGTATACAGTAAAGATCAACATAAAACTTGCTTTTCATAAAAATGCTGCAAATGATAATTTATACATAAGAGATTTAAGAAACTGGCAACTGACAGCGCAAGTGTTTCCCAAAGAAATTGGAAAGTTGGCAAACAGTTGTCACCCTTAAAATGATAATTAAAACATGTATGTTACATTAAATAAGCAGTACTGATATTAGTGATTTGGTAGAATCACTCTATGTTACACAGCACCTTAGATTAGTATGCCAGCTGCTATCCTACTTGGACAGAGATAGCTCAAAGGCAGTGATATATGCCTCTTTTTGAATTACAGTGTTTTGTATGCATGACTGCCTTTGAAAATTGTCTGGAAACTCCCAATTTGTATAAAACATACATTTAAGAGTCCTGACTAGGAGTGTGCTACATATCATGCCAGTATTACGCCATTAACTTGTGATTACTGGCTTTCAGTCTGTTTCCAGGCCCAATTTAAAATTCTAGTTTTGACCTTTGAAGTCCTTCTGAGTTGGGATCTTCATACCACAAGAATCTCTTTGCTTTATCCTTTCTTTGAGATGGTCAGCTGAGGTCCTTCTTTGCTTCTAATAAATAGGATAGAGTAGATGGCTAAATTTTTAATCAAAATTTAAAAGGAAAAGTAGTTCATAAGTAAAGCTGTTTTACCTGACATTCTCATGCTTCTGTTTTCCTGATGTGCTTACTGTTTACAATTATTAGTTACACCAATCAAAGGATTATTTGCATAATAAATCATTGCTATTTAATAGACTAGGTTAACTGTTTCAAATTCAATTAATTTCTCAATCTGGAAAGAAAAAAGTGACTTTTTAAAATGAAACAACACCTAAGGAAGATGAGTAGTACATTTCATGTATTTTGCCTTTTTTCAAGGAACTTAGAGCAGCATACATGGATTTATGTCCATTTACTCTCACAAAAACTGTAAAGTAGCTTGATAGTCTAAAACTACAATAAGCTTCGTAGAAAAAGATTTTTCTCCTGTAGAGAAATTGCTGCCAGGTTCTGAAAGTGCTAGCACACCAGGGTGGGATGTTGAGTTTACTCCATTCTGCAAAGTAAATAATAACAGTTGACATAATTTTATGCATAAGTATCCCCAAGAACTTGATAAGGCTATAGTACATCTGCAATATACTTACATGCTTTCTGAAAAAATATCCATAAGGGCAACAATAGTTACTGCATGGATCCAGGCTTGTTATGATTTAGCATTGTACCATTAATTTAATTAGCTCATTCACCAACTCTGGCTCCAGCAAACTATATTTACTTCAAATTATTTGTCAGCAGACTTACGCAGTTAGGATACTAGTGTTCAAAATGGGAATGATGTGGCCAAGTATTAAGGGCATTCTAAAATAATCCTTTTAAAAGAAAATGTGGCCTACAAATGGAAATGAGACTAACTAAAAAATGCTTCCAAATGATTTTCCCTCCCTGGCACATTCTATAGACTTTAAAAAGGCAAGTAATGCTGAAATGATCTCATGGTATTTGGGGGGTGGGAGGGGGGGCTGTAGTGTAACAGTGACAGCATTCTGAATGGCAACCATGTGTTGCCTTGAGTATACTGATAAATGTGAGACAGTACAATTCCCTGCTCAAGGATATGGTAGTGCTTACAGATGAATCTGTTATTCCATTAATCCCTAATTATTTTCCTTCCTTTTAACCTGGTTTGCAGAAGCAGACCGTAAGGACATTGAGAACAGATGTGCACGCCTTCTGTGACAGTAATATGCAACAGTGTTTGGGTTCTAATGCAATTGCAGTAGCGTAAGTTGCATTTGCAATTTAACTAAAGTGACAGGGAAAAATTGTAAGTTTTGAACTTCAGTGTCAGATTGACACTTTTTCCTGTTAAAAAAAACAGGAAATGCTCACGCATTTGTTTATATTAGTGCAGTATCATTATTGTGAACACCCATCCAGCCTTCCCTTTCTGCTGTGTTAAAATTACTTGGAATATAGTTCAGTTCTAACCAACATTACCTTATAATATCTTTTGTTGTTTTGTTTAGACAGGAGACAGGAAAGAAACAGTTCTTTAAAAGTCTAGCTATTCTTCAAATATAGTTAGGGTTATCATAGGTGTTACAGCATTATACTCGAGGAAAACTTGATTTCCTTTTTTGCTTCCCATTTCGCCTTTCAGGTGGGCATTAACTACCAGCCACCCACTGTAGTGCCTGGAGGGGATTTGGCCAAGGTGCAACGTGCTGTGTGCATGCTGAGTAATACAACTGCCATTGCAGAAGCTTGGGCTCGTCTTGACCATAAATTTGATCTGATGTATGCTAAGAGAGCCTTTGTACATTGGTATGTTGGAGAAGGAATGGAAGAAGGAGAATTTTCTGAAGCTCGAGAGGATTTGGCTGCCCTTGAAAAAGATTATGAAGAAGTGGGTGTTGATTCTGTGGAGGCTGAGGCTGAAGAAGGAGAAGAATACTAAAAAAAAGCAATATCAGATGATAAATGTTCCAAAATATTTTCATACTGGAGTTCCCTTGTTCAGTTTCAAATAAACTTTTAAATGTTCTAGCAAGTTTGAATTAATAATTACTATTTAGAATGAAATTCACATCTTTCTACAAAAAGTTTCCACAAAACCTCTCTGAGGAAACTTGAAAAGTTTTATGTCTATGCTTCCAGATAGGGAATATTCCTTCCTGCCCTCCTACTCTTCATAGCTGACATTTGAAAGCATATAAAATATATTGAAAAGAAAATGGTTAAAATTTTACTGAATCTTAACACTTAACATGTATATCTTTATAATAAAACTCAAGCATAACAGGCAAGTTAAGTTGACTGTACCTTCAGCTAGTGTTATTTATTTGCTCATGTTTTCTAGGTCACAGCTTATCCACACACGCACGTGCTCTTCCCAGATTCAGTGGCCTTTGTGCATCCTATATGCTGAAGTGCAGAGAAAGCAGCCTCAGCCACCACTGCTCCTAGTGCCATGTATTTTATCTGGACAACTGTTTGCATTCATTTAGATAAAAGTATGAGGAAGGGAAACAGCTGGGGAGCCAATAGGAATTGGAATAGGTAGATAGGTCCAGCTACCTACCATCCATACACCTCCTGCTCTTGAGGCCCTTTCAGAGAGGTTCCCTGCTCAGATCTTACCATGCCAGCTACCGGGGGGCAGTGGGGGGAGCTCAGCACTGAAATCATGAGACGACCCTAAGGCTGGGAATGATTGATGGCGAAAGAAGGGGTTGGCAGAGAATGAGGTGGTTAGATGGAGTAACAAGCAGTTGATGTGAGCTTGGGTGGACTTGGGGATGGTAGAGGATAGGAAGGCCTGGAGGCATGTTGTTATGGAGTCCTGATGGGTTGGACACAACTTAGCAACTAACAACATAGGACCTTTCAGAGTTGGGACTCCAGATGACCAGCTCCCCAGATTCTGTGTGGAAAAACTGATGGATGTCTGTCCAAGGACACAGCTGGGCATCGGAATCAGAAGAAACTTTAGAGGGCTGTCAGCTAATACAGATTCCTATTGGTTGCCCAGCTCCTTCCTTCCCTCTTCCTGGTGCTTAATCTTGAATGGCTGAAAACAGCTCTCTAGAATACATAAATGGTGAGATGAAGCACAGTAGAACTCATCTCAGTCCTTGAAATGGATACATGGAAGCCTCTGAGTTTGGAGCCTACTGAATTGCACTCTAAGGAACGTGAATTTTCAGTGTTTTCACTTCTGACATCTTATGAATATTCAGTACATATCATGCAGTAGACAATTCTGTCATAAACTGGCTGCCTTGGACTAATCAGCGGGTGAAAGCCACAGATGACTCATTGCACGTACAGTTTCATATAACAGGAGTATGCATTTCATGAATGAGTACCATAATCATGCAAGGTTAGACAGTTGGCTGTTCCTTTCAGAGGTGAGGTGCACAGCTAACCTTTTGACATCTTAACAATATCCGTAATGGAAAGGGCAGTCTGCAACAAATACATCCTAGCAAATGTGGAAGTTTGCTGAGGAGAGTTAACATAAAAAATGATCACATATCCATCTCCCTTTTATCTCAATGAATAGCAACTCATCTCCTTTGACAACTCTAAAATAGTCAAGTTGAAAGATAACTTTCAAAAGAATAATGTAGTTCTGCTTACTCTACAAATTCAGAGCCACTGTGTTTTAGTGCAGTGATTTTCAACTTTTTTATAGCTGGGGACCAACAAAAATAGGAAAATTGTTTCAGGGACCACTGAGGCAGAAATAAAAAACATTATATACATAATAGAGTATTTTGTGTATTAGTTTTTAAATATAGTACCAAAAAATGAAAATTCTCTAATCAGAAACTGAGCAGTAAAAATGCTAATAAAAGAATAAAATACTGAAATGTAATTTAATACAACTGAAATTTTTAGAGAGCAATATGTAGTTCATATTACATATAAGGCTACTGCAAAATCTGTTGCTTTTCAAAAATGCTTGATCAAAAATTTGCAATATCAATATACAAAATCAATATAAATGCAATACTCTGCTTATAGCAAATACAAATTCAAATACAGTAACAGCACAGCAATACAAAATCAAAGAAAGTTAATACAATAATATTTATAACGTTGAATAAAATACAAGGAACCCCACTCACTTAAACCCCCATTCACATCGACACAGACTGGCTGAGAAAACACTCTAGGCACAGTCTTGCCTTAGCCTTTCTCTTCCCAGTGGAAAACAGCAGGAAAAGGAAAAGGGCCGGTCTTCAGGCCCTCGCAGAGGGGGTACCTGGTGCGCACTGCTTCCAGCGGGCCTCTATCGAGCTGTCTCGCCCCTCCCCAGCCTCCTCAACTGATGAAGTGGAGGGGAATCTGCAGCGAGAGCACAGCTAGCCCCACACTGGTCCTGGTGAGCAAGATGCCCGCACGTGAGCGGCTCTTTCACAGACCAACATGAAATGCCAGTAGACCAGTGCAGGTCCCTGAACCCGCGGTTGAAAACCAGTGATGTAGTGGTTAAGAGTAGGAATGGGACTCAGGAGATACGTGTTCTAGTTCCCACTCAGCCCAGGAGCTTTCTGGATGACTTTGAGCCAGTCACATACTGTCATCCCAACCTCACAGGGTTGTTGTGTGGGTAAGAGTGAAAGGAGAATTACATAGCCACTTAAAAGTTTCTTGGAAGGAAAAAAAAAGTCAGGACATAAATGTAAATGAACAAAGAAGGCTGACCTTATTGGCAAGAGGATCCTAATTGGTTTTGTATCACCTCCAATATAGAGTGCCATCCTGCTTGAATTAAAATGATTAACGATTGCTTCCCTGCCCCACTACCACATTTGCTAATTATTTGCATTATAGGTTAAACCATGCGGCTGTGTCAGCTCAGGGCAATACAGAAATAATATCAACTGCTATGTTACACGGTAAATGCTGTCTTTGGTGACAGGCAGGTGTCTCTAAAGAGGTTTCAGGCAAGCATATTTCACTCAGAATTTCCAGGCTCAAGTTAAGCAGCTTGTCATGCATGTTGCTAAGTTCTTTATGACCATCAAAGAATATTCCCTCTGTGCTCTTAAGGTCAGTTATACCACAAAATGGATGCGTTGGCGTGACACGGCAATTCCGGGAATTGTACCCACCCACCGCAGTGAAAACTTCCCCTTCCTTAACAAGTCTGCATTCCTCTCCCCACAACCCCAGTTCTTTATTTGCATTTCAGAAGTGATGTTTAATTTGCTAAAGAAGTACTTGGAGCCAGTTCATGGAGTAATCTGGATGCACTTATAGAGAATGAGTTTGGGGTAAGTACTATTAGTAATAAATAGAAGGCCAAGTGGGATTTGAGCAGTGCAGGCTTATATGCAGTGTTGAGACTCTGAGTTAGAACACAGTAAGAAGCTCCTACTAGAATAAAGAGACACAGAATGGTTCCACATAGGCAGAGGTGTTAGACAAGGAAGGATGCATTTTATCTCCCTATCTGTTCAATCTGTACACAGAACATATGAGAAAAGCAGGATTAGAATCAGAGGAAGGAGTCAAACTTGGTGCAAGAAAAACCACTAATTTAAGATATGCAGATGATACCATACTACCAGCAGAAAGCAGCAATGTCATCAAAGGACTTCCAATAGAAATGAAAGAGGAAAGTACAAAAGCAGGACTACTGCTAAATATTAAGAAAACAAAAATAATTTCCACAGAAACATCATGGAACATCACTGTTGATAATGCAAAAAATCAAAATTGTGAAAGATTTCACAATTTCACGGATCCAAAGAAGCCATGGAAGGAGCACAAAAGTTGGTATTATTCTGCAACATATTTGCAAAAGCTTAACAATTGGCTGCTATAGTAGTTCTCAAACTTGCAGAAGAGTTCTTGCACAAGTAGGATATCTTTTATCTTCCAGGTTGGATTATTGTAACACACTTTACATAAGGCTACCTTTGAAAATGGTCCGGATATTTCAGTTGGTACAAAATAGAGCTGCCAGGTTGCTGACGGGGACCAGTTGTTATGCTCACATAACACTGGTCCTCTACCAGCTCCACTGGCTTCCAGTTGAAGTCCGGGCCCAATTCAAGGTGCTGGTATTAACCTAAACAGCCCTAAACGGCTTGGGAGCAGGATACCTGGAGGAACATCTCCTTCCTTATATGCCCTCACGCCTCTTAAGATCTGCAGGAGAGGCTCTGCCCCAGGAACACTCCCTGAAGGAGGTAAAGAGGATGTCTACTCGGAGCTGGGCTTTCTCTGCAGTGGCGCCCAGGTTGTGGAGTGCGCTCCCCAGAGAGGTTCGCCTGGCGCCAAGTCTGTACTCTTTTCGGCGCCAGGTGAAAACCTTTTTATTTGAACATCATTCTAAGATTAAGAGATTTTAGAGTTTAAGCCACCAGTCACTTTTTAAAAATTTATTTATCCCGACTCATTGTATTTTTATTTATTGATTGTATTTATTTATTATTGTCATCATATTATGAATTGTTTTATCATTGTTGTGGATTTTATGTCTGTAAGCCATCCTGAGACACTGTAGTAAAGGATGGGTTAGAAATGTTTTTGTTGTTGTCGTTGTTGTTGTTGTTATTGTTATTAGTTTCATTTATCTTGTGCAAGACTCCAGCACAGCATGTTCGTGAATGGAAGTCAGCTTCCTCTGGCAGAAGAACTGTTCAATCTAACCCTCTGGCTCCTTCTGTATGATTAACTAATCCAATTCAGCCTACTATTTTATTTATTTATTTATTTTCAAATGTATAGACCGCTGAATAGCCTGATAGGAGTAGTACACACACACACACACACACACACACACACACACTCACTCACTCAATCTAGTGGACTGTATCTCTTTCACACTGAGTGCACAAAAAGTCAGTGATCCTTGGCATCTTGGATGCGCAGAAGTTATCAATAGAAACTGGTTTTCCTCCACTAATTAGTTCACAAAATGAAACTATTTTCATTTTGATAGGAATGAAAACATTGGGCTCCCCAAGGATCAGTATATTTAACTTGTTCACAAATGATTTGTTACTGGGCTGAATAACAAACTGTTCAAGCTGAAAACACCAAACTATTTAGGGTGGATAAAACAGAAAGGAACAGTGAAGAGTTCCAAATAAACCTGCAAAACCAGGGGAATTGGCTTAAAATAGCAAACATTAACATGTGCAAAATGATGCACATTAGGGTAGAAACAGCAAACAAATTACTCACTTCACATATGTGTTGATGAGGTCTGTCTGGGCACTGCACTGGGGAAAAAAGGTACTACAGAGGTGGAAAAGTTGTAGAAAAGGGCAAGCAAAAGGATCAAGAGGCTGGAGCAGCTCTCCTATGAGGAAAGGTGACAGTGTTTGGGACTGTTAACTTAGAAATAAGGGCTTAGAAAATGATGCATAGTGTGGAGAAAATTGATAGGGAGATGTTTTTCTTCCTCTTATGATAATAGAAGCCAAGAACATCTTGGGAACTGAAGCTGAATGGTTTGAAATTCAAGATACTAGGAAGTACTTCTTTACACAATGTATTCTTAAACCATGTATTTTAATACCACAAAAATGTACTAATGCCCCCCCCCACACACACATGTTGGATGGCTTTAAAAGAGGCTTCGACAAATAAACGGCAGTAAGGGTGTAAACCCATAATCGCTAGATGCTATCAAGGCAGCCACAGAAAAAGCTGGAGTCCTAGCTCTGATCTCGGAAAAGTGCTCCATGGTCAGAATAAGGACCCCGACTTTAGAGCGTCCTCCCCCTGCTCTCACAGTCAGCATTGTTCTTTCTGTGCTGTCTGGGCTCTAAATTTGGAAGACAAAGGGATGATGTTACACTGACGTCATCCTTGTGGACTTTTGCAGGAACATGTGGTTAGACACTGTACAGAAAGAATGCTGGACCAGTTTTACTCATCATCAGATTTTGCAGGTCTCTTCTCATATTTTTATGAATTTCTGGTTGACGCAAGGTTTCAGCTGAGGAATTCCCAACCCACAGCTTATTCCATACAGCACTGTGTGCTAGCATCCAATAATCTACCCTTAATTCAAAACTTGCTAAGCTTCAGAGAGCCCTGTGTTTCCAAAGGCAGATACAAGTTTATTTCTACTGCTATGATATCGATGCCTAAGAGAGCAATTCCCAACAAATTGAGAGAGCTCCTGACTTATTCTTAGGCATGGGCTACTGGAAAAGAGATCACACAAAAAGCAACAGGAAAGTTTTGAACATGTAATTGGGGTGAGAAGATGGATGCAGAAAAATGGTCAGAATCTTGAAGTATCTGTTCTAAATGTGTCTGGAAGCTTTGCATTTCTGGAACTGAACATCTTCTTTCTGTTTTCTCATTTTTCAAGGAAACTGAATAGATGGAGACATCTCAAGCGAACACTAAGCACACCATACAATCATATGTGGAGATTTTCCAGATCATGATATATATTCCCACATTTATCCTGGGGCTGCTGTTCAATGGCATGGCTATGTGGTTTGCCTTCTACAAGATCAAGCAACTGACAGAACCTGTGATCTATATGGTATCACTTATGATTTTAGATACTTTGGTGCTCTTTGCTCTTCCCTTTAAGATAATTTCCTATAGTAACACAACATGGAACCTTGGGGGTGCCTTTTGCTCATTCCTGGAAAGTCTGTACTTTGTGAATATGTATGGGAGCATCCTCATCTCCACATGTATATGTGCTGATAGATACATCGCTCTCCTGCACCCGTTTGTAGCAGTAATCCTGAGATCTCCTAGGAAAGCTGCCATAACTTGTGTGATCATCTCAGCTGGGATCTGGGCAGGAACTGCATATACTTACAAATTCCATGAATACCAAGGCCCTCAGTTCTGCTTCCGTGGCTTTTCTGGAACTTTTTGGAAAAACACAGTCTTGCTCATCTTCCTGGAGACAACCTTTCTTGCCTGCATGACAACTATGATCTTTTGTACAGTTCAGATCTTAATACGTCTTCATAGGAATCGAGGAACAGATGATAATTCCACTGTCAGAAGCAAATTTGGCAATATAGTTGTGGCAAACCTAGCAACATTTCTGGTCTGCTTTACTCCTTTCCATGTGGTACTTGTGTTGCACTATCTAGCAAAGAATAGTATTCTAGATGATGGACAGGAAATTATTCGCACATTTCTTCAGATCAGCCTATGCTGGGCTAACCTCAACTGCTTTCTAGATGCAATCAGTTATTATTTTGTTTTCAAGGAGTCTCTAAAAAGCCCTTCCAAGGAGACTAACACCACTGATGTTGATTAAACCATTTCATATAAAGTTCTGGGTTTTTGTTAATGTTACGAGCAGGTCAAAATGGAGACAGGAACACAGAGGACCCAGTTCAGTTGAGGTAGGGCTGGGAAAGACTCCTGTGAACTGCTGCCAGTCAGTGTTGGCAATGCTGGGCTAGTGGAACTGATGGTCTGACTCAGTATAAGGCCACTTCCTGTTGTTGACCATTTTCCCTTTGGAACAGCATACTGATGACTGTGTAATGAAAAAATCCAGATCTCTGTTGGTCGATAAGTATCAAATGTTGTGTCTTTCCTGGGAGTCAAACCAGGAGCCCTTTTCAGGAGGGTGTTTAGGTGTCTCTCACCCCTTCCCATTCCAGTGTTAATGTTTAGATATGATTGATTATTCCTGATTTTTGTTGTGTGTATCATATCACCAATGGGCACTTAATGATATAAAGTCCTCACTTAATATATTTGTGTGTTTTTTCCCAATAAAATTGACAACACAACCATTTCAAGGCCAATTTGCTCCAGTTAATCAAAATGCAGAGCAGATAGCAAGATCTCTGAAGTGCATTCGTTCTATTCTGTATTAGGACCAATGTTATTCAGTCTGTTCAAAAATGGTCTGGAATTAGGAGTAAGAAATGAAGTAACCAAGTTTGCTCATGACACCAAAATATTTAGGATGACTCCAAAGAGATCTCTTCAAGCTGGGCATCAAAATAGCAAATGTAGTTCATTGTAAGCAAGTGTAAAGTAATGTATGTTGAAAAGTTGAAGATATTAAGAGAAATCAGAGCACACCAACAAGCAGTTGTGGCTAAGAAGTAACTTTCCATGCTATTTTTAAAAACTGTTTTCAGCTGGTTCTACTTTAAAGCAATATACTTCAGAAACACAAACAAAAGGCTACTTAAACCAGAATTAAAATACTTTATTATTTCATTCATTTTACTTAAAAGCTACGATTTGTTTCAGACAAAATATATAAAGCACTTAGGATTCAGTCATATGCATATTTAGCAAGAAGACAACCTTACAACTCTCAGCTGCTAAGTAAGGCTTGTGTTTGCTTAAACACACATAGGATTGCACCCTTCATCATCTTCCCCATCCCACGGAGTACTGATGTTGCAACATTCTGGATCAAGTTTAGTCCCAGCAAGACGCCAGGGTGTCCTTCTTGTGATTCAAATTGTGCAGAAAGTTAACTAGATTAATGACCAGGATACAGCTTACAGAACCACACAGAGAAAGGTTGGCTTTCCAAACTGAGGGCAAAATTCCAAAAGCTGCAAGGCTCAAATTTATCAGTCATATGCAGGGTTGTTAAACAAACTGTATGATGCCCCTGCCCCTTTACAACTTGTCTCTGCTTCTGCAGTTCTTCAGGTGAAGTCTCACTGAATTCAAAAGGAATGTCAACAAGAATAGTAACCCAGTAGTGTGTGCACATCAACAGGAGCCAAAAACTGTCTGCAATATTAAAGTCATAATTGTGGTCATATATAATGAGCCCCTGAATTATGGCCAGTTTACATAGGACTTCCGGATTCCACATGGCAAGGTATGTGTACCATTTAAATCAGGGACAAATAATTTGTGTCCCTCCAGATGTATTGGCCTACAATTCCCATCAGCCCTAGCTAAGATAGCTAATGGTAAGGGATCATGGGGATTTAGGCTCAGTGTCAGTCTTCTTTATTGACACCCAGGCATCATCATGTGCTTTATTATTCTCACTGATGATAATAAATGCTCTTCACCACATGTGGGTGTGTTTGCGATCGCATAGTGAAGCCTCACCAGAGGGAGGCAGATGCAACATTGGTTATCTCAGTTGGGTACTGTTCAGCCATTTCTTCATTCATAGTTGCCCTATATTCAAAGTGAGATGCAGGCAGACCAGGCACACTTCTGGAATGGAGACAGTTCACAACTTTAACCTTTTATTTCCAACCCTTTTGGAGAAAATTTGGGTGTGCAAAATAAACTGTGGGAAACCATGCCAATTTGTGTTGATCATAGCCTCTTGCACCAAGGGACAGACTCTCCTTTATTATTAATACTAATATACCCTGCCTTTTTCCCCTCTTGCAAGGAACCCAAGGCAGCTTATAAGGTTCTCCTCTCCATTTCATTGTCCCAACAACAACCTTGTTTGGCTTAGAGTCAGCGACTGACCCAAAGTCTCCCAGTGAGCTTCATCACTGAGTGAAGACTAGAACCTGGATTTCCTGACTCTCAATCAATGCTCCAGCCACGATGCCACACTCACTCCCAAAACTGCAGATGTGCAGAGTTTGCCTGATGGTGTTTCACAGACCTTGGCACTCCAGTTTAAAAAGTAATTCAACCTGATTTTGAAAGTCATTTATTTACAAGTCGGTGTGAACTTTCTAGTCCACAGAACTGGCAGTGGTCTCCTTTCACTTCTATCATACCCTGAAACCTACCCATCTAAGGGTTGCCAGTTCACATGTATCCCATCTACTACACTTTCTTTTGCCTGTCATTAGAAACCAGTGACAACAGATCTCTACACCCTCCATGATAAAATCCACCCTAAGGCCTAATTCCAACGGCAGCTGAGATTTATTTTATCAAGTCTGATATAACTTTGAAACTTTGATCATGGCCTACTATTCCAGTCCTCATGTTTAGAAAGATGTGACAGAATAGAAGTTCTATTCTTTCCTGGCACTCGATTGTTGATAATGATGAACAGGTACACCCAAACCCAGGCCAGACATAAAAGAGTGATTATGCTGCTTGAGGATCACAGGTAGTGGTCTGGCTCCTTACTTATTTCTGTCAGGCTTTGCATGACATCCTGATCATCATTGCAACTCTGCCAAGCCAACTGACTCCTTTAAAGCAACAGCTGGGACAGGTGAGGACTGAATTTGACTGTTACACCTGCACTTGTTTGACCATAGCCACATGCTAAAATCAACTCCTAAGCAATCTTCTGGATCAATAAGCTAAGAATCCAAAAATAATCAACCAGTTTTGCGGGAAAAATACTTGGTCTGACCTCAGTCATTGCGCATCCAACATTAAACAGGGAAATGTCTCTGCATTTCATTTGGAGGTGAAGAGAAGGCAAATTTGCGTTTGTGTTTATCATAATTGCCACAATATCCAGAAGAATTGCTAAAGCTGCCGGTAAGGAGCTAGGATAACGGTAGGACTCTGGCAGCAGACTCCCCACGTTCTGCATGTGAAAGCTGTCAAAGGGGAAGAGGCAGTTTTTCACAACAGACCTTGGACTTTCCCAGAAACTCCACTACCAGAAGCCTGTTTTGCTACCAGTTCCCTAGCCTGACTAAGTTGCGCAGCTATCCCATGACGACTGCTTCCCCTGCACCATCAGGCATTTTTTAAAGCCCAATTTATGACTTAGTTTGGGGATGTCTAAGCTGAGTCAGGTCCTATGAATCTCCAGCCTGAACTCCCCAAACAGCTATCCAAGGTGTCAGGGAAGCTAAACTCCGCCATTAGCAGAACCCAAACTCTTGCCTACCTGTCCCCCACTTGGTCTGGACTCCCATCTGACTGAGGCCACAATCAGGGACAGAAGAGGCGAACAGGTGTCAGCAAGTACATTGTCTTTTTACTGAGAGCTACGTATTTAGGCAGAGCATCTACAAAAGAAAACCAGTGAATGAGAATTTCAGTGGCAAGTCTGCTTTGGCCCATTATTTGCGCTGGAAGGGCACTTAGCGATTAAACTATTCTGACCAGAATTGCATGCTGATGGATTGTACATGCATGACTTGCATCACAGGATTGCTTCAATTTCAGGGAAACGAGCATAATCATAAAGAAGCCTAACAAAGGCCACATAAGCTGCTCTGTAGAATAAATCAGTCTTGTCGATCCATAAATTTTTAAGGCTGCAGACATCATCCATCTAGCTAACTTTCTTTTCCCCTTTAGGGAATTAATTTTATAGTGGTTTTTTTTGTTAATACTAAATTGATATATATAAAAGGTTTTCTGTGCAAAGGGATCTCCTTACAAGGTAGTGGCAGTTGCCACATTCAGCACTGATGAGAAAGCTAAAGGCATTCATTACCTTTCCCTCCTTATCCCTCTCTCCTCATCCCCACACTTCTCAGAGGGCACTGTGTACTCTCAGATGAGATTATTGTGCTGGTTTTCACAAGGGAAACCCTTTGCTTACTGTTTTATTATTTATTTACTTAAAAATTTCTATGCCGCCCCATTTGCCGAAGCCATTTGGGGGTAATGGACAAATTTATACCCAGCAAAGTATGAACAGAAAGAAGCAAATGCAACATAGAGACATCACAGGTCCACTGTTTGACCACAAGCAACCTGAAGAGTTAGTAATGCACAAACAGTGGGAGCAAGAAGAAAAGTTGTGCCAATTCTCTCAAGAAGAGAGCAAGAGCACCTATGAGGATGAGTAGAAGCAAAGCCTAGAAGGTTACATCTGGACAGCAGCTCTCACGATTCCTGGCAAATTGCTGTGTCCACCGCAAAGGTGTTTGCAAAGTGGCGGATGTGATGGCACTTCTCAGTAGCTCGTCGATGAATATCTGAAAGAAGGCACCAGAAAGAAAGCCAGGTTAAGTTAGGTGTGGCATGGAACACAGGAAGCTGCCTTGCAATGATTCAGGCCATTGGTTCATCTAACTCAGAATTGTCAACACTGACCAGGAGCAGCTCTGCAGGGTTTTAGGCACAAGATGTTCTTGCTGTACCTGGAGATGTCAGGGATTCAGTGTGGGACCTTCCACAGGCAAAGCATATACTCCAGTACTAAGCTACAGTCCTCACAGGGTGAACTTCGACATGTATTTAATAAAAACAAACAAACCTCAAAACCTACTCTTAAGCAGAACACATTGTCAAAACACTGCAACTTTCTATTACATGAAGAATGATTAAACAGCATTGCTATGGGCAACAAGCAGTCTCTAAAAGGGAAAATAGTAAATAGTAAAAAGTAGGGTGGGTTTTAACATTGAATTTTAAACTGCATCACAAATGTATGCCACATATTGCCATTGGTTCATGTTTGTTGTGTTCCTTAGTCTCTGTAGCTTTGCAGCTTATATCTGCTGCTTGCCACTTCCTGTCAGTTGTTTATAAGGGTCCTTTCTTACTTACAATGGAGGACTAAAATAGTTTGCTAACAGGAATGCATGCTGGCTCAAGGCTGTTCACATATTATATTCTTCTGCTGGAAATTAAAACGGAACCTTAGAAGCCCTTGGCAGGAAATAGTGAGTGGCTGATGTAAGCAATAAAGCCACAGAAATAAAAAAAAAATGTCCCCATTGACCTCAGTATATTAAATTCAATAAAAAGATTATCTGTGCTAATTCAATAATGCAGTTCCTGCAGGCCAACTAAGAATCTGAGAGATTTCCATATAAAACATAAGTCACTGAGCCATCAGGCACTCAAATGATCCAGATCATTTGACTCCAGCTTAATACAGGCATGCTAACATCTGCATTACAAGAACTCTGCTATGTACTACAGTCATTCCAGCAGAGCCAATGCACCAGGAAATCCGTTATGTGCACATGTCAGTGAAATGAATGGGAGTTGTGCAGCAGCCCAGAACTTCTACTCAATGTAATCATGTAGTTTGTGAGAAGTTGCCAGTGGGTTATACTTGAGGGAAGCTATAGCCAGACAGAGATTACTCCTCAGTTACAGACTGCAATCCAATTGATTACTGTCCTCCTCAGCCTGGTGCTCTTCAGGGATTTTAGATTTCGGCTCCCACCAGCCCTAGCCAAAAGGGCCAGTGATAAGGAATGCTGGGAGTTGTAATTCAAAATATCTAGAGTGCACCAGGTTGGGGAAGGTTAAAAGATCACAGGTTCAGGTTTGGATTTCTAATTAGCAGCTGAGTAAGATGTCTGCATGGGACTAAAAAAACAGTTGCCAGTGAAAACAGATGATGCTGGCTTACATGGATCAGTGCTCTGCCTACGTATAAGGTAACTTTAGTGTGATATTCTGTACTCAGTATAATATTTTGCATAGATGCCTATCCTTTTTCAGATTTTTAAAAAGATTGCTTCAATGCATTTATTCTATGGGGAAGTGGGGGAAACTAATTCCAAAACAGGAAACAAAAACAGGCACAACCAACACACAGTCATAACAGCTCCCACAACAGGGTTCTGGACAAATGTACATGCATGTTCCTGCTAACAGTTAATGAAGACTGAACCCAACTGATGCACAAAGTATGGCAGACACTTTAAAGTATGGCAACCTTCCACATCTGCCCAGGTACAGCAGTTGTCTTCGACTGTGTTATTGCAAAAATAAGCACAGTTTCTAATTCACCACACAGGGGAGTAGTATAGTATACACAGTAACAGCCAAGGCAAGAGCAAGAATCTTCTTACGTCTCCTTGCAGTCCGACGCTTCAGCCTGTAGGTTTCTTTGCCATGGCACAGGCGATATATGAAAGAGCCGAGCTGGTCCATGTCAGTGACATATTCTGTCACTATCATCTCTTCTTGGATTATGTAGGTATGTGGCAGGTAAGCCTCTTTCTGAAATCACAGAATTCACAGTCCACTGAGATCACACAATGAGATTTCAACTACAAGGGGAAATAACCCCTTCATAGAGTCCAGTAGTCATTCCTGTCATTCATCAGAAATCATTCATCTGGATTTCAGAATTCTGACCCAAACAACACTCATTCACCCCCATCATCCAAGGACTTCATAAACATGAAACATACACACATGCACACATGGTTGAGATGGCAGGGCACTTGGGATTAGAGCTACAGAACAAGTTTGTTCTTGAAAGCTTGAAGGCAACACCTTCTCAGACAGCCGTAATAGGTCCCTGCAAATCAAAGAGCACAAGCAAATACCCAGATTCAGAGTGCTCCTTTCTTCCCTGTACCATTCTCCAACCTTGCCACACACGCTGGAAGTCAAGGGATTTGCAATCCAATACATCTGGAGGGTATCAGTTTGGAGATGGGACTGACCTATGTTGCTCCTTGCTCTCCCCCTGGTCTGCATTTAACCTGTAATGGCCTCTGAACATAAATGTTCTTATGTGATTCTGAAGGTGTGATGGTGCCACAACTCAAGTGAACAAGCAACTGCAACTCTGAGGGATAATAGCATTGAACTAGTCAGCTTCCTTGGATAAAGGTATCTTTGAAACTCGTCCTAGCTAGCATGATATATATATAATTATCCATTTTCCTAAGTCTTCAAATGGAAAATTGAGAAAATATAACCAAAACATATTCAGTTTTGGTTTATTCTTTTATGGAAAGCTTTATGTCCCTCTCCCCACCCGCATTGTCTCTAAGGCTGCAATCTTAGCAGTTATTGTGTGGGTGAGGAAGAGCCATACACTCACAGCTGGAGAGCCTTTGAGAGCTTTTGCTAAATCAGATCACCCTGCAGGATGGGGAAGCTTGATAGTATAAGCAAAGCATGTCCGTGCTTTAACGTCTTCACTGACTCCCAAATCCATTTCCAGCTCCAATTGGAAGTGCTGGACTTAATCTTTAAAGCCTGGAGTGCTGCACTTTATGCCGGTTTCCAGATGCGCTCATCCAGATCTTCAGTTCTTCTTCTGAGGCACTTTTCCAAGTACCCCTGTCAAGTGAGACGCTGCTACCAGGGAAAGGGCCTTTTCAGCAGTGGCACCCTGGCTTCAGAGCACTCTTCTGGAGAAGCTCTCTGGCACTTAGTTTGGTGTTCTTCTGGTACCAGCTGAAGACTGCTTCATTTTCTCACACCCTTTTATCTGCTCCTATTTTAGATTCCTAATACCTGGGCTTTGTTTCCAACATTATATTCATATTTTGAGAGGTGACTTTATTCTTTAAGCCCTCCAGAAAGCACAGCTATGTAAGTGCTTTAAATAAATGAAGGAAGGAAGGCAGATCTCATAACAGAAGACAACAGACACCATCCCAGCAGCCAATTAACCTAGGAGATCCTGTCCTCATAAGCAACAATCAGAGAAATCTATCTATTATGGCAGCAGAATTGGTACCAGCTGAATGGATGCTTCTGTATGACAAAATAAGCAAGCCTTGGACACCTTCCAACCCCACTACCCCTGACCAGTCATTTAGCATTCCCTAAAAGATTAGAAAACTCAATAGGAAGAGGTCATTTTAACAGAGAGCATGTGTTATGCCGGCATGGCAGGCTAACTAGATAGTCTGTCAAAGAATATTGCAGTCATAGTCTATTAGTGGGATTGTTAATGAAAACATATAAAGATGTGTTAAGCTGTTTGCCTTGAAGGAGGAGAAAAAAACATGATCCTGAGTGCCCAGTTGCAGGGCCAAATATGTCTTGACTTCAGTGAAGAGGGGTTCAGAAGGGGAAGACATTAACTTTTATTTATTAACCATTAGATACAAGCATCCATGGAAACGGTATAGCAGCAGCTGGTGGCACACGATCCAAGGCCAAAATCTGCAGCAGCAGCGCCTGGAAGCAAATGCACTGTCGCTTGATGAGGAATCCTTGGCTTGCCATATTGCTAGTGAGAATGATCTTGGAGTTGATGGAAGTGCAGCCCATGGGCAGGATGTGGCAAGGCAAAAATGGCCCTGGACCCACTGAAGTCATTTGCCACTGGAGATGCTTTCATTATCTGTCACTTCTTACCTTGGGAAAGGGCAGGAGAAGCTTTTGATGAGGGTGGCCAGAGTCATTTCCCCCAGTGTGTCTCAAAAGCTGCCCAACTATTTCATTCCACTTGTTACATTTCTATCCCATCTTTCATGCAAGAAGCTCTGGACTGTGCACGTAGCTGCTTGACCCTTACTATATCCCAGAATAATCCTGTGATGTAAATTAGTCTGTAAAACAGTAGCTGCTCCAAGGTCACCAGGTGAGTATTGTGGCTGAGAGGGGATCTGAAGCCCTACAGCACACTGGCATGATTCATCTTCAAGAACATCAATATTACCAGGTGTGAAAAGGACCCACAGAACTTGCTGTTTGATCTTGAATTCAACCAACAGATCTAGAATCCTTTGAGCCTTGAGGAAAGCTGTGTTCTCCTACTAATATTCTAATATCTTTCCAACCTCACTCTCACTCAGAGGCAATCACTACCATCCAATCTGTCTTAATGAGCTATCTGAAAAAAACAGAAAAATGCCAAAGATAGGCTCAAGAAAGGCCAGAGATGTCAGACATCTAAAGATCATTATAAGCATGGACTCATTGTCACTGGAAAACCCAAAACCTGAGCTATTAGGGTTCTGTCAATTAGCACAATGAACTCAAAGCTCCATTCTGATTTCACAGACGCACAAGATTTCCCTGCCACATGCACAGGGTTATGCATGCACAACATGTGTATGAGAGGAGGGGATCGGGATCTGTTGATACCCTGCAAAGTCAATTTTGGGGGGAGCAGAATCCACCATGGAAGTTAGAGAGACCCAGTACAGTATGGCAGGATGGCTTGGTGTGAGCTGCGAGAGGGGAAATCTCCATTTCATCTCACCTGAGCCATGAATTCACTAGCTCGCTGGCCCTAAGGCAAATTGCTCTTTGTTATTCTACATCCCCTATAAGCAACATCAGAACACTGCCTTATTTATTTATTCAAAACATGTTACGGTGTCTAATGTCCAAGATTCCTCTCTAGACAGCTTACAGTGACAAAAACCAAAACAGCATAGTAAATAAACATGATCTTCAATATATATAAACATATTCAGTAAAATCAAATAAAGCATTAACCATTAAGATACTGGGTGAATAAAGTTTTATTTGGCCTGGCACCAAAATAAATAAAATGTCGGTGCCCATTGCACTGCTCTGAAGAGCAGGTTCCACATCCGGGGCACCACCACTGAAAAGGCCCTTCCCCAGGTAGCCGTTCTTCTATCCTCTTTCAAAGAGGGCTCACAGGGAAGGACCTCAGCGGAAGGTCAATAGGTTTGTGCAGGTGTTTATGGAAGGAGACTATCCTTCAGTTATCCAAGCCTTAGGGCTTTATAGGTCAATATTAACACCTCAAATTGGGCCCGGACGTCAATCAGTAAAAAGCAAAGTTAATATAGGACTGGCATTATGTGGCCAGTCCTGCCAGTCCTAGTAAGCAGCCTTGATCTATTTTGTACCAACTGAAGTATCCATTTTCAAGGGTAGACCCACATTGAGCGCAGTACAATAGTCCAATTGGGAGGTTACACGAGTATGGATTACCATTGCTAGGCTCTGCCTGTCCAGGTAAGGACTGTACGCCACTGTACATTATAATTCTAAGGATTAAAGAATGGTATAACTTCCTCTAGCACCAGATTTAGGTTGTGAGTATCAATTGAATTGGGGTACTGAGAAACAAGAGAGAGATTCCGCATGCTCTGGGAAACCCCAAATTTGCAGAAGTTATAAAGTTTGCAGAAGTTATAATAAAAGGTATTTTTAAAATGGTAACTCCCTGTCCCCAAAACAGCCCAGTAAGCACTGACTGTTCATAGCCACCATGGAATATTGAGAGCCAGGGAGGAAAATAAAAACTTAAACAAGAGAGGAGTGGAGTGGAGTGGAATACCATGAAGGAAATTCTGGTTGGATGAAACTCTAAATGAGAAGACCGCTATTACAAGCTAAGAAATACAATGCAACATTTTATTGCAGGTCCCAACTTTTAAATACCGATACCATTAGAAAGCAGGGAAATCCAAGTTTCAACTACCTTTACTAGGTCCATACCATCAAACTGCTACTGTGCAGTTTGTAAGCATTCAAGTATAGTAATTCTCCTTGAATAGATTTATGTATGCTATCTGAAAAATGCCATAAAAACACAGTGTAAATAGATTGCAAAATTATTCTTCATGCCAAGGGAAGCACTTGTGAGTTCTTCTCCAGGAACAGGGTATACCTGGCATCAGGAGCAAGGTTTGCAGAATTTATTTAACTAAAGAAAATACTCACTTACCTTTAAATTAGCCAGCAGCTCTGAAAAATTTTGAGGTGGCAAGACAATGGTGGTGTTCAGTTCAATGACGTAACATTTATCCAGGGCTAAATCATGATAAGCTGTCAGCCCCTAAAATCCAAACCAGACAGGATAGGCTTAAAACAGACCCATGAGCTCCAACAGAAAGCTCTGGGGACAGGTATGTTCGTTTTGATGAGAAAGCATTAGAGGTGTATTCCATTAACCTAGGATTCTTAGTTAGCATCTCTCAGTGCTACATCATACACACAATTATTAATATTAATAATTTAAAATATTAATGTTTGATGTACCTTCCTTTCAGAAAGCTCTCTTTAAGAAGGGGGTGATGCACATGTTGATAGTGGGGCCTGTACTCTACTGCGGTAACCATCTGGGGCCCACATACCAGCAGTAGAGAGAACAAAATGAGACAAAATGTCCTGTTCTCCTGCCTTCTCTTTTCCCCGCTCCCTCCCTCTCCCCCCCCCCCCCCCGCTCTGTCTGTACCTTTCTTGCACAGGAGTACCATTGCAGAGGACAAGAGTCACAAGGTTAATAAGAACTGGCATCACAACACAGATGCCCCCATCTCAATTTTTGTGCTTGGAAGTCCATGGCCTGGCATGAGGAAGGAATCTGCAGGTTCTACAGACTGTTGTGACTTCAGCACTTCCTGTCTCTAACCCTGAAGCCTCTTGGGACTGTTCTCTGTAGTCATCACAATACCTGTTGCATTTTCCTAATTCCTTACCCTCTGAAAATCATGAATAATATCTGCAGGATCACTTTCACCAAACTGGGGTGCTGAGACGTTGATCCGCTCATAATCCTCCTCCAAATTAATCCTCACATCTTCGTGCAGTTTCAGCTCTTCTTTCAATTGCAAGTCAAAGTCATCTTCAAAGATAATTTCACACTCCCACTCTATATAATCTAAGTCAAGCTGTGAAAACATTTAAATAAAAGGGTAGTGGTAAACACATCACACTATCACAGTACTGTGGCCTTAACTGCAAGACTTAAGAGAAAAAAACTACTGAGCGGGATTAGGAACATGGAAAACTGCCTTATGTTGTATGAAGCCACTGGTCTATCTAGCCCAGTATTGCTTTAGCACAAACAGAGGCAAAAGAAAGGCTTGGAAACAGGCAGGCAAACTAAGTGATACCTCATTGGAGGAATAAAGGAAGCCTGTGGTGAGTGCTCCGTATACTTCTTCAGCACTCCAGAAAACTAGCAGAGTGAATTACAACTGAACTCTGTGCTTTTTTGCTAGTTTAAAACAGAATTCAAGTTTACTTAGGGTAGTAGTCACTGGTCACTGTTGAGTCCTGGACCACAGTCAGTGGGTTGGATCATGATTAATTTAGTCACGCTTCATTCCCATGGGCATCCAAGTTAATCATGACTAACTTGGCTCATAGAATCATAGTTGGAAGAGCCAATAAAGATATTAGGTCCAACCCCAAGCTCAAGACAGGCCTTCAAAAGCAATGCTAACAGATGGCTCTTCAGCTGCATCCTGAACGCCTTCAGTGCGGGAGGGTCCACGAACTCCCTAGGTCATAGGTTGCAGTGTTGCATTGCTGTAACAGACAGAAAGTTTTTCCCAATATTCAGCCAGAATCTGGCTTCCTGTAATAAGCAGATTATTCCATGCGATGCATTCTGGGGTGGCAGAAAAAATATCCTGGTCCTCCTCTGGATGACAAGTTTTCAAGTACTTGAAGAGTGCTACGATATCTCCCATCAGTCTTCTCATAGTTAAGCATCTCCAATTCTTTTAGTTTCTCATGGGCTGTTTCTAGTCCCCCTGAAATCGTTTTTGCCCTCCTCAGAACATTTCCCAGTTTGTCTGCATATTTCTTAAGTGGTGCTGCCCAGAATTGGATGCAGTTCTCAGAATGAGGTCTAAACAGTGCTGAATAAAAGAAACTAGTACTTCATGTGATTTGTAAGTAATACTTCTATTGATGCAGCTGAAATACCATTTGCTTTTTGTAGCCACATCACATTGTTGACCCACATTCAGCTTGTGATCTAAAAAATTTTTGAGTTCTTGCTTGCAGTATTCTTGAGCCAAGTATCTCCTAGCTCCTAACTATGCATTTGCTTTCTTTTTCCCTAGATCCAGAACTTGGCAGGGCTCTGAATTTCTTTCTGCTGTTTTAGCCCAGCACTGTCCAGATCACATTGATTTTTGTTTCTGTTTTCCAGGGTATTAGCTGTATTTCCAGGGTATTCCAGGGTATTTTCCAGAAAATTAGCTAGTTTTGTGTTATCTGCAAATCGGATAAGTATTCCCCACACCTCCTCATCCAAATAATTAATAAAAATGTTGAAGGACTGAACCCTGCAGTACCCTACTTGCTACTTCTCCCAAATTTGAGAAGGAGTCATTGAGAAGCATTGATTTCAGTGGGAATAAAGCATGATTAAATTAAATTTGAGGATCCCAGCCCTATCTCAAAGTCTTTTAATTGGATCACCATCTATTGACACAGGCCCACCAAACCCTCAAGCTGGCCATCATTTCCTGGGTTGCCACAAATAGCCTCCAAGCTTTTGCAGTCACCATGTTTGAGGTCCCAGTAGTTTTCCATCTAGAGCACCTGAAAATATTTGCCTCTGTAACAAAGTGTGTTCTGCCAGGACAAAGCCTTTCTTGTGAAACAAATCTAAAACAGACTGTGTATCATGCACAGATGGCCCTTGAGTGAGGCTAAGGAAATGCTGTCTTTCTGTTCATCTGAGAAGAATTCCATGTAATTTTCAAGCAAGCTTGTTTTTCTCCAAAGAGAGTAGCTTAGTAAAAAGTACCATCTTACCTTTTTTTCTTATTCCCTGTTCTCTGGAACCAAGTGTCTCAAATCACAGCCTCTCAACTGTTTAGTAAAGACTTTTTACACAGCCCTCTTCACGGTAAAAATACAGAGCAAACCTGTCTCTGGCAAGCAAAATAAAAGCCATTGCACAAGATAGCAATGAACAAGTACTTGAAAATTATGCTGTAGCTGAGAATGCAACATGCAAAGAAACAGATACGAGAAGAGAACACTGAATAAGTGCTGTTACTCAAATATACCGTGGACTTCACTTTGCAGTTCTCAGAATATTATTTGTTAGAAGCAATTTAAGAGGAAATTTACTGTCTGGCCCATATGGCCCATTTCAAGCTTCCCAGCGTGCCACCCCCTTTCCCCTGCCCCATCTCCTTTCCCCGTTTGGTAGTTTCCCAGCTTTTGTGTAGTTCCCCCCTCATTCCAAAAGGCTTGAAATGCCTCCCAAAGCTTAGCACACTGGCTGTTCAGAAAAGTGCAAGCCAATCCCTTTCCATGGGAAAGGAAAGTCTGATGTCTCTGGCAAGGAAGACCCACTGCCCTGTCAAAACAGCCTTTTAAAGGGAATCCAGAGTTTAGGTTCTGAAACTCCTTTTTGCCTGAAAATGGGGTGGGGAGTGCAATTTTGTGCTTTTCCAGAAAGGCAGAGTCTCAGAGGGAAGACTGTAAAATGGACAGCATCCTGAGCACAGTGAGTGAGTCTTTGCACCACAAAGGGGGTGCATATCTCATCACTGCTTTTTCATGAGCTAAGATTCTGCACACATTTGCTTTCCATGGACAGCTCACCTTTTGACAATTGTCAAGAGAAAGTAAAGGAAAACCCTTTCCAAAGTTTTTTGGGATCAATCTCCAGGGTTGGTACAGGATACATTTTGACAGCAGGCAACCCCTAGGGCAGGGGTGGCAAACCTATGGCACGTGTGCTACAGCGGGCACGCAGAGCCCTCTCTGTTGGCACGTGAGCCAAGTCGCCCCACCATCGCCCCAGCAGCTGAGCATCGGATAATAGCATACACAGAGGCCATGCGCACGCCCAGAAGGGAGTAGTGGTGCCAGGCAATGACGTCACAAGCCACAACTCATTAGCCACGACTCGTCCAAGCTTCTGCATGGCCAGTCAGTGCGCTGCCAAGGATGGATGGATGGATAGATATATTTGCTTGGAATGCCTGTTTTCAGGTTTTATTGCAGTGTTGGCACTTTGTGATAAATTAGTGGGTTTTGGGTTGCAGTTTGGGCACTCGGTCCTTAAAAGGTTCACCATCACTGGGTTAGGGCTAGAAAAACAAGGTGTCCTGGTATGATTTTGATGGTTGGAATGTGTTTAGAAAGGGCAGAAATGTTGAGATGTGCAGAAAAAGCTACTCAAGGAAGGCTTTTTCAAAATCGTCCTATTTTCAATTGAACTTTAGCCCTATATTAGGGTTGGGGTGTGCACCAGGGTAGGGTTAGGCTTAGAAAAATGAGGCGAATGGGGCAGCATAGAAGTTTGCTAAATAAATAAACAAACAAACTGCTGCTTGGACTCCTGTGCAGCATCTGGCAGTGGCAGTGGCCCAGGCAAGCCGGGCGAGTGCAAGAAGGTATTTTGGCCAATCTTGCCAAGTAGCTTGCTAGCTGCTTCCTGGTACCAAAAATGGGGTCCGTTGCCTGGATTTGGGAGGCATACAAATCCATGGTGGATACAACAACCCCGGGAAGCGAGGCGTTCTTCCAAGGAGGACCAGAGGGGATGGAGGAGAACAGCCACAGTGAGCACCATCACCTGCCTGGTGCATCATGGTCATTTTGCAAACAACTCAACACTGCATAGCCTATTTGCAGTGCGAATTGCTATGGTGCGCAAACTCAACTTTTATCTGATCCAGCAGAGTGATTCTTATATTCCCATGACTCAGAAAAAGGGAAGGAAATTGGTGCCATGTGGGAGGGAGTGGGCAGTGAATTGTTTTAAGCAGAGCAAGTATTGCAATAGAAGGCAGAGAAAATACATTGGAGAAGGAGGCAAAGGGAGCTAATTGAGGGTTAGCCTCTGAAGAGCAGACAGAGAAAGGGAGGTAGTAAGATGAGACACACAAGGAGAGAGAGACGGAGACAACATTAAAGGTGATTTACATTGGTGATTAGTCTGATTGACTTGCTGCATTTTATCATGCTTTTCAGACAATTATTGTCTCCCAGAGATGTTCACATCAGTGAGAAAGAGGCAGGCGCTGCTGTCCTGCTTATATACCCAAATGAAAAGACAGACAAGCAAATAGGGAGAGAGGGAAGGAAGAAGAGGGAGAACAGTTTTTCAACACCAGAACCATATGGTGAGGTATAAGCAACCATCTGGGCCAGGCTGTTCTTCTCTTCCTGTTGTTTCCACTTGAAAAAGTGTTTTTTGTTCCTTTGGCCAATGCATCAGCCCACAGTGTCCCTGCCACCTTACCCCTGCGGTCCCAGAGTTCCGGACAGCTGAAGCAACGCAGGAGGGAGAGGAATGCAAGCTTCCTGTGACTGCCCTGCCTCTGAGCAATGGACTGTCCAGGTCAGCCTTCCCTCTGGCTTGATGTTGCCCTTAGGAAACAGAGGTAGAAATGCGGTCCAATGTCCCATGGTTACTGGTAGAAGACGCTCTGCCCTCCAGTCCCAGAAGACAACTCAGAAAAAAACTGAATCAGATATAGGGAGGGACAAAAAGCCATCTTCCAATTTTATATGGACAAATAAGACAGGGGTGGAAAATGAAGTCAAACAGCTAATGGGGGCACAATCTGGTGAACCAGTGGGAACCTTGAGCAACTTAGAAAATCTTTCACAGTGCATCGTACATACCATGTCTAAGGCAGTTACAGAGTCAGTAACTGAGTCAGCAAAGGAGAAATATCTGTAGATATACATTGAAGTTAAAATCAAGCCAAGGAACAACAGCATCAGGATCATGGCCAAGTAGAAGATGTGGCTAAGAGATCTCCTGCTCCGCACAGGTGAAGGAAAGCACTGCTCCTCCTGTATAAAGCAAAGAGACAAACCCATTTTATGAACAATGCAATGCATGTTGAAATGGCCGTGGGGATTCTCCACATTAGAGGGAATACAGGCATTCCAGAAGGTCATCCTGGCTAGGCATGGACATTCAGATAGTTTGCTTCCACAATGAAGATCCGATCCCTGCAACTTTGTCTTCTCTTTGTATGTATATATGTGTGTTACATATTGTGTGAGATGAGATCACTATCTTTACATCTTTACATATAATACTACATTAAATGTTAATAAATATATGTAAAGGTTATTATTATATTAATATCCTGCTTGCTTTCCTGTTGGCAGGAGCCGCTATGACTCATGATGGTCCTTTCCATGTTATCCTCATAACAACCCTGTGAGGCAGCTTAGGCAGAGAGTCAGTGACTGGCCCAAAGACGCCCATTGAGCCGCATGACTGAATGGGGACAAAAAGCCAGGTCTCCTGACTCTCCAGCACTCTAACTACTAAGCCATACTGGCTCTACACTGCACTGACATGTGTGCATGTGTACACATACGCACATACACACACATGTACACACACTCGCAACATTATACTGCTCCACAGTGAACAATAAACAGATAAAAAAGGATAAAACACTGTAGGAAAAGAACATCAATGAAAAGACAGTGGCTGATCAAACATAAAAGATGTTTTCAGGATTTGCTGGAAATACCACAGTGTTGGTGCCTGTCTGACCTGCAGCGTCAGGGAGTTCCAAGGAAATGGAGCTGCCAGAATGAAGGTATTTCTCCAGCTGAAACCAACCATGCCAAAGGTCCATATGGAACCAGTAAGGACATCCCATCTTATATCCTCAGCAACCAGGCAGGTGGAAAAGGGAGTAAAAACTCACTCTAGTTGAGCTTCAGACTGATTCAATTTGTATGCTGCCATGTTGACAGTCTGTGTTGATTATACTAAACATCTCATGAACCTTTCAATATATTGTTTATTGTAAGGCATCCATTCAATTTTCCCTTATAACCATGTTCATGTGCTGTCCAGTTTCAAAAATGAGTGAAATGCTTACAACATTTGATGAAACATATCCAGGATATGTCTAAATAATATGTACAAACAAATTTTGGGTTTGTTCTTTTTATACTACTGCATAACTTTTCAGTTTGCTGATTGTAGGCATTCATAACATGTTTTGTTGACTAAATTCTTCAAATGTATCTTTGTACACTGCCCCAGACACATTTGTAAAATACCAGAGAAACACATTTTGACAAACAACTACTATCTGCTGTCTGGCATGACATCACTTTCCCGGTGGGAGTGAGATCAGCCTACAGATGATAATGCTAATTCACCATTGTAACATCAGGCACACCACCTAACAATACAGCAAAGGGACACTGCAAATAGCAGTCTCTGAATGGGAGCTCCTAAGCCAGGGATAAGCGACATGGCCCTGTGAGACCCAGGATACCTTTCTTGGCCCTTGCCATGGTGCTCAAGCCCTCCTACATGAAAAATCAGAGCAGCACACTGCATCTTTCCAGTAAGTGGGGATACTGTGCAATATGTTTCTGCTGATGATGGAGAAGATAGGTAAAAGGAACTGGTTTTGTGTTGGGGCTCCCCTCTGCCTTGGCCTCAGTCTTTTGGACAAACCATCTGTCTTTTGCCAAGCTAACTATAACAACCATTTTGTGCTGGCACCCAGGATGCTTTCTCAAACTGCCAAATTTGCCGACGACCCAAGAAGGACTGCCTATCCCTGACTTCACCAACCCAGCGTGTGGCTTTGGTGCATGGGGCTTTTGTTATAAAAGAAAGAATCCAGAGGAAGCAAAACAAAGCACGTGACCCCGAAGCACGGAAGAAAAACAGCACTGTGGCAAACAAGGCAAGCTGTGTGGTTTGGCTTGTGGCCAGGCACACTGCCATTAACGCTCCATAGTTCAGTGGGGTGGGGAGCAGATCGAGCTGGTGGCCTTGGTAAGAGAAAGACAACAGGCTGCCTGGCCAGGCCGAAGGAATCAAACACTGAGAGCATGTCAGTGCTCTCCAAGTCGGCAGAAAGGATACCGGGGTCCACAGTCTGGTAACATGAGGGTCAGCTCAGGTGCCCAGTCTGCTCCAAAGTCTTTGAAAGACATTCATGGGATGATAATAGCAAGATCAAAGTCAGACAGTCAACAAACTGGGACTTCCCAAGTTCAGCATAAAGCAGAAGAATCATGGCAGAATCATGCCTTTTTTTTTTTTTTTTTTTTTGAGGGGGCGGGGAGCAGGTTAACAAATGTTGTGGATATGCAAAATTACACATGGGGTGGAGAAAGGAGAGAAAGGGACAAACTACCAGCACCTGGAGTCATCCCAGGAAATTGACTGCCGGGAGGTTCAGGACTGGTAAAAGAGAGCCCTTCTGGAACTCACTCCTTTAATGTGTGGTGATGATGACAAGACTAGCAAGGATGACTTGTCATGATGACTATGTGTGGTGCTTCCAGTATCAGAGGCATTTTGCCTCTGTACATCAGTTGCTGGGGAACATGAGCAGGACGCCGGTATGGCATTCATGTCTTGCTTGCGAGTTTCTCACAGGCGGCTCGTTGGTGAACAGAATGCGGGGCTAGACGAACTCCTGGTCGGATCTAGCATGGCTCTTCTTATCTTCTTATTGCAGATGCACATGTACATACCAGACATTGGGTAGAACAGGAGTGCCTGCAGGCGAGGCTTTTATCCCGCCATCACCCTGCTTCATTAATAAAATGCTGCTGGGAATCCAGATGTTGTCGTTGTCCATTTGTAGCCTGCTCCTGCTTTCTTACCTCTTCTTCTTCCATCTCGTCTCTCTCTCTCAAGAAATAAATTAAAAAAGATGGAATAGATGTACAAAGACCTTTGACTGCTTGCATTAAAAGCATGCCGTACAGAAGCATCCCAGATCATTCTTTCCCAACCACCTCACCGCTTTAAAAAGATGACAGATTTTAAAGTTCCAAGAGACAATGTTGCTAGAATTATCTTCATTATTCACATGTGTGTCCCTTCCAAAGTGTTTTGCTGCCTAAAATGCAAAACCAGATCCTGCTGCCCCAATGGTCAAGGTGCATACTACTTAAAGCCCATCAGATTATTTTGGCACCTAGGTCACCTAGCTTACAAGCCTCGATTTGCCCCTCCCTGCCCCAGCACTAAAAGTATAATAATAAAAACAAACCAAGAGTTTTCTGTCTTGCATGACACTAAATCAGCTACCTTAAGCAGTCACTTCACTCTGCCTAACGGTAGTGCCCACCTACAGTTCTGACCATAATTCTAGGAGGAGGGACAGAGCTCAGTGCTGTTCTCTGGCCAGTTAAGGGGAACATACTGCTTTTTTAAAAGTGAAGAAGACCTAGACCTCCTAAGTATGCAGTGTCCACTCATCAGTGGGTGGGTGAAAAAGTGTGTTATGTGTCTCTGCGTGAGAAAATAGGCTAGAGCAATTTGCTTGCAAAATCTGAATCAGGACAAGCTTGAACAGTTTTCTCCTGATGTAGAAGAGAGGAAGAAAATAAGTACGGGATCCATGGCAGCACACCCAGGTTCAGGGAAACAGGTTCCTTGGCTTCATCCCACCCATTCACCCAAAGCTTTGCCACTGCCTCTTTAGCTTTTAAGGAACTCTCCATGTGTTCCAATTTCAGCTGCTGCCACATCAGATCAAATATCACAACTTCCCCCAAATAAAGAGAAAAGGATATCCAGACCTTCAAATCTTATCACATTTTAGTCCTCTGTACAATGACATTCAATTACGCAGAGAAGTGCATCATTATTTATGACTTTCTGCTGAAGTCTTCCCATTTCTATTCCACTGAGATGTCAAGGCTCTTTCCCAGTGTCTTTCTTCTACTAACTGGCAGTTCCCAAAGGACACATCTATTGTACAAGAGTGCAATATGAAAATTACCTGAACAAAAATATGCTTACGTGTGGGCATTTGAAGTAGCTAGCTGGTTCTTTCTCTTTCTACTCTGGATTGAGAGTTTTGCCTGGTTAAGAAAGTCTCCTGCCTGGAAAAGCCTAAAGGTTTAGGGAATGGGCACAGAGCTCATTGAGCAATCTCAAGATGACAGCAAAATGTGGCTGGGGTTCTTTTCTCCAACTCAGTTTTCCTTTGCCCACATGAGGATTTTGCAGTGCAAGGGGAGCAGCTTCTGCAAGAGATGGCCACTTATTTTATTCTGCAAGTGACAGGTGTCATGTAGATTGTTGAGCCCATGTTAACAAAGGAGGAAGAGGTGCATGCCAACAGCCTTCATTCCTCCCATCCTATGAGGTACTTGTTTTGCAATTCTCAGGAAGGGAGAGTGTGTAAAGCTGTTTACACAGTTCTTTCCCCCCTGCTAACACAAAAGGTAATTTACGGAAACAGCCTTCTCCTTGGTCACATGCAGCAGAAGGATTAAGTTGAGTCTTGAGGTGATAGAACAAACTAAACTGCTTCAGAGCACAAGTCAGGGGGAAGAGGAGAGTCTTATTCTTGAATGGTCCCTGTGCAAAAGGTGCCCCTGTAAGTAGCAAACTGGCATACCAGGATGTAGCCCAGCTGTCCTCTTGACCCTTCTACGTTCAGGAAAGAATGTATGCAAAGGGAGCGCTCAAAGATGCAGTCTGTCGCTGAATTCTGAAGTAGTACTTTCCACTCCCACAGGAACTCTACCCGCTCGTTCTGCTGCGTGTGTGAATTGCCTCTTCTATCTCACCTGGTTTCCTCTATCACCAAGAGTTCTTGTGGCTCTAGCTCTTTCAGCTGGACCCCTTGTCTCTGTGCCTGCCGCTACAGAGCACTGCAGGACCAGGGGGAGGTCTCTGTGAATATCATCTCCAAGCATCGGCAGAAAATAGGACAAGGTTACACTGATGATACAGGCTGCTTTGAAAGCTTCAACTGAGGATGGAATATACACCACATTCAGTCTTCAAAGAGACCAATTTTTCAGCAAAAAACTTAGGAGAGAGGGTGCTTGTG